TTTCTTCAAATACTTCTTCTGATCCTTTCTCTCTCTCTCTCCTCTTTCTGGGACCCCTATAATGTGAATGTTATTCTGCTTGATGTTTTGCCAGAGGTCCCTTAAAGTACCCTCCTGTAAAAAATTTTTGTTTTCATTTTGCTGCTCTGTTTGGGTGAGATTCATTGCTTTGTCTTCCAGCTCACTAATTCATGCTTCTACTTCATCCATTCTGCTATTAAACCCCTCGTGCATTTTTCAGTTCAATTTTAACTTTTGATTGATACTTTCTTATATTTTCTCTCTTTGTTGAAGTTCTCACTGTGTTCATCCATTCTTCTCCTGAGGTCAGTGACAACCTTTATGACCATTATTTTGAATTCTTTATCAGGTAGGTTGCTTATCTTCATTTCCTTAAGGTCTTTTTCTGGGAATTTGTCTTGCTCTTTGATTTGGAACATATTTCTCAGTCTCTTAATTTTGCCTGACTATCTGTGTTTGTCTGCATCTATTATGGGAAACAGCTACCTCTCTCAGTCTTGAGGGGGTGATCTTGTGAATTTCTGCAGTGGTGATGATGATCCATGGGGCCCAGAAGTGCAACCTCCCCTGGTCTCCAGACCAGGTGCTCAAGGGGCATCCTTCACATGGACTGCTTGCCCCTGCCAGCTGTGGTGACATGCTTGCCCAGTGCAGTTGTGGTGTGGCTGCAGCACAGGGTCAGCAGGGCTCAGGGCGTTCATGCAGCCCAGTTGTAGCTCTGCTGCTGCATGAGGTGGGCTGTGCATGGGGTTCTCACCCCGTCTGGTTACAGCGCAGGTGCTATACAGGGAGATAGAGGCGTGGTATGCTTGTCTGGCTCAGTTGCAATGCAGTTGCTGCATGGGGTGGGTGGGGTTTAGGACTTGCTTGGCTCAGACGCAGTGTGTCTGCTGCACAGGGAGGGCAGGGTGCAGGGTGCTCACCTGTCCTGTTGTGGCACAGCTGCTGTGTGGAGTGGGCAAGGTGCAAAGTATGCCCACTGGTGTTAGCAGGTTTAAGGGAGGACACCAAAAGTGGTACCCACTAGTTCTGTCATGACCACGTTAGAATGAGATTGCAAAAATGGCATCCAACCATTGTTTCTGTCCCCAGAGAGATTCACTGAGAGAGTGCCTGCCTCTCCATCGGCCGCATTAGGATTAGTAAGTGGGTCTCCCTCACTTATGCTCTAGGCACTTTTCAAACGTGCTGGATCTCAGGGCAAATGGGTTTCTGCAAGCCCTTTAAGAGCAGATTCTCCATTTCCTACAGTTCTGCATTTCCCCTGGACTTAATTCCTGTTGATTTTCAAAACCAGACATCTTGGAGGTTTGTCTTTCTGGTGCCAGACCCAACGGTCAGGGTGCTTGATGTGTGGCACAGCCCCTTCACTCCTAAGGGAAAGTTCCATATTTGGGGATCTTTTCCTGACTGTGGGACATCACACTGGGGTGGGGTCCAGGGGGAGACCAAGTCTCTGCCTCTCCTACCCTTCTTGATGCATCTCTTTTATCTTTGTTGCAGAGGTGCTGTTCATCCAGTTCTCAGGTCCTTTTCAGAGGAAAATTACTCCATATGTAGCTGTGAATTTGTTGTGTCTGTAGTAGAAGGGGAGTTTAAGGTCTTCCTACACTGTCATCTTGAACCTCTCCCTAGCATCTTAAGTGTTATCATAATACATAAAAAATAGAACAAGCTCAGAGTTTGGGCTGCTCTTCCCAACATCTCGTAGATTTGACCAACACTATCCTGTATTGTAAGCTTGCCATCTCATATTTAATCTGTACCACCATTTCATTCTTCCTCCAAGTAAGTCATCACCTCAATTCTTGCTTCAAAATGTCTTGCTCTGATATGTACCTTCTTATTCAAACTCTCTTGCATTCATCAAGTCCAGGATCTCAACCTCCTAGGCCTGCATTGCTAAAATATCCATCATAGCCTACTGCTTTTCAAAGAGTGATTTAAGAACTTGCATCAGAACCATTTGGGATTCTGGTTTAAACATGCCATGTCCTAGACCCCTTAAAGTAGACCAGCTCTGTCCAACAGAAACATAACACAAGTCACATAAGTAATTTTAAATGTTCTTGTAGTCAGATTAAAAACTAAAAAGAAACAAGCAAAATTACTTTAATAATATATTTCATTTAATCCAATGCCTGTAAAATATCATTTCAATATATAATTAATTTAAAAACATATCAACGTGATATTTTACATTCTTTTTTTTTATACTGAGTCTCTGAAATCTGGTATTTCATAATTGTAGCATATCTCAGTTGGGACCAGCACATTTCAAACGCTGAAGCAGCCACCCGTGGCTAGCAGCTATGGTACTGGACTGAATCAGACTTGGGGAAGGGGGAACAGAAGCAGGAAAACCTATTCTTAGCAAAATACCCAAGTGATTCTTTCACATTCTCAGGTTGAGGACTACGACTCTAGACTGTTCTGTAGACAATCCATTCTACAAGCATTACCGAAATTACACTTGAAAAAAACGTCCCTTTAATTATTTCGATCCTAAGAACCTAGAAATCTCTGGTACCTCCAGTTCAACCCACTCAGACGGGTATTGAGGTGGCCTCACCTCATCCATCTGAACTGCTGCCCAATTTGGAAAATGGTCTAGGTTCTTCTGTGATATTTTCCCAGGCGACTATTCAAACGCTCATTCATTCAACAGATATTTGTGGAGCACCAACCACTAACTATCATCATGAATCCTCCCCCAAAACAAGGAAGATAATTCACAAATCATTATAGAATCCTAACCATGTAATTCTTTTCACTGTAGTAATGAAAGCAATGCCCTGAAACATGCTATAAGATGCTATGAAAATGCATAAGAGCAAGATCTTAGAGTCTGAGAGGGTCAAAGAAAAACTTTTTTAATGTAGTAACATTTAAGTTAAAAAAAGAATATAAACATAATTCGAAATTTGAACAGATAAAATGACTTTCTAGGCAGAGGAAAGCACATTATGAAAAACCATGCGCTGGGAGAGTTACTAAAGGAGCAGGCAGATTAGGAAAGTAATTGGAAAGGGGGCTGCCGAGGGAGACACAAGGCAGATGAGTCAAATTTGTGAGCCTTCAATTTTTCTTTTTTTCCCTCAAGTCTGCATATTTAAACAAAACTAGATTACAAACTCCTCAAAAAGCACAGACCACACCTTCTAAGCCTTAATTATTTCTATCTCCTCACAGAGCACAAAGGAAGTATTTAATAAACACTTCCTCTATACATGCAAAAATATATTTTGCTAGGCTTTTAAATCCAGATTCTCCAAAATTATACTAACAACTATTTGCATCTTTGGGTAACTTACAAACAATATTACTTCAAACCCAAGGAAGTCTTTCCTGAATTGCTGACTATTAACATGAAGTCGCTTGGAAAGAGAGACAACTTTTACATAGATCAAGGTGGCATCATGCTTGACTAGCATGATGCTGTAACCCAAGTTAACAGCAGAAGGAGCGAAAAGATGGTGATTTAAACACACAGACACACACACGTACCACAGAGGCTAAAGGATGTAAGGAAAATATCTTCTTGGGTCAAGTCAGGTTATTACCTATTAAACCCATGTTTAAATCTTCAAACTGAACAAAATCTGATATATGACACTGTGATAGGCAGAATTCTAAGATGGCCTCCAAAATTCACAGTATCTAGGGAGCAAGCACATCCTACACAATTCCTTTCCCTTGAGTGTCGCCAGAGCCCGTGAACACGAGGGGATATCACTTCCTGGGATTAGGTTCAGGCAGAAAATATCTCACTGCGACTGACCTAATCCGGTCAGTCCTTCAAAGAGACCTCGCTGAGGTCAGAGAGACTAGAAGCGTGAGAAGGCCTATGCAAGGGCCACCTGGCAAAGGCACAAACCAGCCCCTGGCCAACAGCTAGAGAGACAAACAGGACCTCAATCCAAGAACCACAAGGACATTAATCCTGCCAACCACCAAGGGGCTTTGAAGAGGACGCCAGATCTCGGATGAGACGCCACTTGCAGATGCCTTTATTTCAACCTTGTGAGACTCTGACCAGAGCACTCAGCTAGGCCATGCCCAGACTCCTGGGAAAACAAACGGTGTTGTCTAAACCACTAATTTGTGGCAATTTGTTATGCAGCAATAGAAAACTAATACACTCAGGCATTTCTCATATAATTAAATAACACAGTACGTCTGGTAAAGATTTCCAGACTTCATTTTACAAATAATTTATCTAGCTGCTTTAAGGGTAAAATTATTTCACAACTGGCATGAATATTAATTGTGCACTATCTCTTTGATACTTCTCATCCTAACATGAAAAGTTATGGAATTTGTGAGTCAAGTTTAGTGTCGATGGGCCTTTTTGGTGGGGTGACCTTACTCCTGACCAGCTACCCACGGATGGGTGGGGTGGACAGAGAGCAAGCTGGACCGCCAGCCGCCCCAAATCGGCCCTGCAGGGGGCTTGGGGTGCAGGTAAGCAAAGCCCAGGATGGAGGTGGACAAGGGAGAAAAACGAATGCGGTTTGGCCCTTTAACTCCTAACCCAGTTTCTCAGGAAAGGCCGCGCTCCCACAGCATCAAGCCCTCTAAAGTCGTGGCTCGGCTGCACGCCGCAGCTTAACGAACCCCTGAAGGATCCAGCCAAAGTTTCGACCGTCCGCTAGGGATCACCGGGGCCACGCAACATGCTGCCAGGGGACAGTTCATATCATTCTGAAAATCTTCACAACTCAGAAATTGTGCTCCTTGGTCGCTCAGACTGCAGGGCTAGGGAGCTGCCAATAAAACCAGATCTGCCATCTTTCCCCCTCGACTCTATCTAGTTGATCACAACAAGAAGCACCCGACAACCACCCACCAGAGCAGGACAACCCGAACGGCACGCCCACGCTTACCCACTGCGCCTGCGCGCCCAGCGGGCTCTGGCGAGGGCGGAGAGGACTCGCAAGGCCCGGCCGCGTGGGGCGGGGCTTAGCGGCTGGTCGCGCCTGCGCGGAGGGGCCGACGGCGTGCTGCGTCGTTACTTTTGAAACGAGTGGCGGGCAACTGCTGCGGGCGCCCCTGCTGCAGCTTTCCGCCGGGTGGGCGCGCGCCTCCGTCTGCGACCTGCCATGGCGTTGCAGCTCGCCCGGGAGCAGGGAATCACCCTGCGCGGGAGTGCCGAAATCGTAGCCGAGTTCTTCTGTAAGTCCTCGCGGAGGCCGGGGGCGGGGAGGCCTGAACTCAGGCCGTCCGGTCGGCCTGCTGCTCGGCTCCGAGGCGGGGAAGCCGGGGGACTGGGGCTGCCTCGAGTTCAAGCGCCCCGTGTCCCGGCCGCGTGTCCGGCGGGGGGAGGCTGGGAAGAGGCGGGTGCAGGCGTCTCCACTGGGCGCATTGCTAATGGCGGCGGCGGAGGCCTGGGAGCTGCGGAGGCCCGCCTCCCCGCGGTGTGGCCTCTTCCCCCGGGACGTTCTTTAAAGTGCAGATCCCCTGCCACAGCTAGAAGGACCCACAACGAAGAATATACAACTATGTACCGGGGGGGCTTTGGGGAGAAAAAAGGAAAAAATAAAATCTTAAAAAAAAATAAAGTGCAGATCCCCCCCCGCCCCCTCCCCCGCCCCCAGCGACTTAGGGGTAATGCGACCCCCGTGTAGGTGATTCACGGGTTGGCGGTGATGGACCTGGCCAGTCCCACCTTCTGCTAGAACCGGGCTGGACTTGAAAGGAGAAATGAGGAAAAAAGAGAGGGAGAGGTTTGCCTGGGGCATTGGACCAGTCAGTCAGTGGCTAACGCGCACGCCAGAGCCTCTTTTGACATCCTCTAACCACAGAATCTGAATTTGGACTTGGATTACAATGAGCTGAAATTTGGCAGTGGTAGATTAATGCAGTTTGTCATTTTTCTTTTATTGCCACAAAATGCAGGCATTGCTTTCTCTCTTTTACTTAGAAGCAAGATCTTAATAAATTTTCATGAAATTTTGTACCTACTCTACTTTCAGCAAGACACGCACAAACACGTGTGTGTCGGCATTTGCAGATATACCGTTAATGAAACCAAAGCTATGTCTAAATATATTTTATTTTCCGGAGGTATGAAGTGATAACAACTTTAACATTTTTTTTTTGTTTTCAGCATTTGGCATCAACAGCATTTTATATCAGCGTGGCATATATCCATCTGAAACCTTTACTCGAGTGCAGAAATATGGACTCACCCTGCTTGTAACTACTGATCCCGAGCTCATAAAATACCTAAATAATGTGGTGGATCAACTAAAAGGTATGCAGTTGTTGGAAACAGTTTTGAGTTTTGCTGCCCTTCTAGGATCCACATTTTTGGCCTCTTGGTGGTCATTTGTCAGCTCCGTACATAGAGGTGTAAGACACACAACCATCTCAAATACAGTGACTCCACTGGGAGGAAGCAAATAATGTAAATTGAAATCCCACCCTTCCGCCACCACATTTTGAGTGGGCTGAATATTTTGATGTTAGGAATCTGATATGGCTTAACAAAATAGTCTCCATGGACTCCCTGTGAAATGACTGTTGCAATTCCTGTGGCCAAACGGAACAAGTTGGAATTTTACGTAATCGTGATGGTGTTCATGATCTGAGGAAAATCCCCTATGCATTTTTAATGTGATACATATTCTGTAGCTGCTTGGAGTCGAAAGTTGTCCTTATTAAAATCAGGGAAAATAAAATTGGATTCAACCTGGGAACTAAACTTCAAAAAAAAAGAACTACTAAATAATAGAGCCCAGTAGAGTTTTCTTGTTTTTCACCTATTTCCATTTGTCTTTTTTAAATATCCTGCCTGCGAGTCAGTCAGCTTTTTCTCTCTGAGCACTCCTTTTTTTCCTTTAGCTCAGGAAGTTACTGGATTGTTGGATCAATATGTGCTCTCCATCTATTCCTTTTTCCTTCTTCTAGAATTCCTATTAGTTTCTCTTTTGTGTTTCTCAGCACTTAATGATTCTCACTTCTGATTTTTCTGTGTTGTAGGATGTGTCTCCCTTCTCCCCATTTGATCTTCCAAAATACTAGTTCCAAAAAACACTACAGTGGTCATCTTTTTTTTTTTTTTTAGTTTTTAAATTCATGAATCATGTATATATTTTGTTTCGTTCAAGTAGCTTCATTTTTAAAATTTCTTCATTGTATTTTTATTAACCTCAGGGCTAAATCACCCATAGTTATTTATAGGGCTGTCCTCAAGACTCTTTGGCCTGGAAACCTCTAGGCAACTATAGAGCTCTGTCTTCATCTCAGTTTGATGGAGAAGCAAGACTTACCTAAGCTAGTTTTTTGGTTTGTCACCTTGGAAACCACACAGATGACATTTCACCTCAGATGTATCTAGACCTTCCTATTTAACGTCTCCCTTTTTTTTAGTTAAAATGAAGGAATTGCTCTCCTTAGAGGCAGATTGTTCAGTGTGTTTTGAATCCCATCCCTCTAGCCTCCTTAGGGACTTTACCTTATTTCTCCTGTCTTTTTGACTTTGTTTTAATTTGGATTATTCCCATTGGTTTCATGTCTCCAATTTTAAAAGAAAAAAGTTACCACCTAATCTCCTTTTCAGAGCTAAACTGATAAGAAGTTGTTGATATATGCCCGGGGTCAGCAAGAATATTTTCACATTTTTAAAGAGTTGTTTTAAAAAGAATATGCAGCAGAGACCTAGGTAGCCCACAAGCCTTAAGTATTACTAAATTATTTTCACCCTCTTTAAAAACAAACTCTGCTGGCTGCTGAATCTACTATCCCAATTTCCAAGATTAATCCAGGGCACAATCGCAGGCCTTCTCACTGTAATCTCTCTCTAGATGATCTCTCACATGTTCCTGGCTTCACTATCAACCTTTGTATAGTTGACTCACAAACTTATATCTAACCCAAGTCTTTCCCAACTCTAAGCTCATATACTGAGTGGCTCTCTTGATATCTTCATGTGGCTATCTCAGAGATGCTTCAAACTCAGCATTTTAGAAGTTAAATTTAGGATCATCTCCATTTCACTTCTCTTTGCTCACAGTGAGTGGATCAACCATCCAACTAGTGATAGAAGCCAGAAACTTGGGAGCTATCCCCAAATCATTCCTCTTCCTTACTCTCCTAGCTAATCCAGTAAATCTTAACAACATCAATCTCTTGAATCTGTCTACTGCTCCATCTCTACCAGTGTATCCTCCAACAAGCCTTCATTACCTCTTGCTTGAATTTCTAATTAACTGGTGTTCTTAGATCCCCTTTACCTCCAGTCCGCTTTCTGCATGACAGCCAGACTTGATGGTTTGGAAGTACAAGTCTAATTACATCACACCCTGCTTTAAACACAGTAATGACTTCCCTGGTTTTTGAAGTATAATTTCTTTAATTTGGCCCACGTGGCCTTGCATAGTCTGGCCCCTATTCATCTTGCCAGACTTCCTTGTTCATTCTCTTTCTTAAGTGCAACTGTATTGGCCTTCTTTCAGTTCTCTGGTCAGATGCTCTTCCTTTTTTGAGTATGTAATTATCATTTCACCTGTCTCAGTGCCGTGATGAGGTTGATGCCCGTCTCCTGCACTCTTACCTTGGATCAAGATGAAAGTACCACATTAGTACTCTGCTCAGCACCCGCTCCTATAGCTGGTACAAATACAGAGAATTTGAAAACAGAATCTAGTGATGGGGTGGTTTTTCTGTGCAGGTTGGAAGAGTTCCAAAGTCCCAGTGGTAAGAATTTGCTGAGGTGGGACCTGAGAAGTGGCTTTGTAATGCAGTGGGCCAACAAAGACACCTTGTGTGTTGCAGATTGGTTATACAAGTGTTCAGTTCAGAAGCTGGTGGTAGTCATCTCAAATATTGAAAGTGGGGAGGTCCTTGAAAGATGGCAGTTTGATATTGAGTGTGACAAGACTGCAAAAGATGACAGGTAATCATGAATTAAATTATTTCCACTTTCATATATTTTTTCCAAAACTTGTTTTCTTTACTAAATGTGTTCTGATTATATTGAATTAGTTTCATATTAAGGTATAGTTTGTTTCTAAGATATGTTTAATTTGATCCTCAATCTCTTGTGGAAAAGAATTTTGCTCACTTTAGCATATCAATGATTTGTATAGAGAGTGTACTTTTAACATAATTGTCTTTGGTCTAAATTGGTGACTTTCACACTTGAGTATTTATGGTGGTATATGCAAAACTACACATGATGTGCTAGATGGGCCATTTAATGAATTGTTTAAAGGTACTTTTAACCATAAGGTGTTGTCCTAGACTCTCCCAGCTTAAGGTGCAGCTCTACTCCTCTTCATTTAATGCCACAAACTTCCGGAGACACTTCATAAACTCTGAAGTTTGCAGGCCTCCTGGATGGGAAATGCCCATCGTCATAAGCTAATGTCTAGCATTGGCCTAGGCCCGCTTACCTGTAAACTCGGAACCATTTCTCATAATGAAATGTAGTTTGCCTCTGAGGCCTTTGGTCTATTTTAGGACATTTTTAGCTTATAAAAATAATTCGACTTAAAATTTAATATCTTATTGGAGGCAATAGAGAATTAGACACTCAGGCATTACTAAAAATGACAAAATGATTATACCAATTAAATGTTTTAGATACGCTTTGTTATTTTTATTTTAAGAAGTGATGACATTTTCCTAACTTGAAGCACTTGACATATTTTCTAATCGTGTGATACTGAATGACCTGATACTAAGACCAACCCCAAAAGGTGATTGGAAGGATAGATGAAATAATAAAGATGTGTGTGGTGCCTATTAGAGTATAGGTCCTAAGGATATACATACACTCATTTTTTTAAAAATTCTTGTAATGTATGACTTGTTTGATTTTGGAAGGCTTTAATCAGATAAATAATCTTGCCAGTTTTTTAAATAACTTGTTAAAACTTAAAATGAATTAATTGATTTGGTTTCTTTGATAGTACACCCAGAGAAAAGTCTCAGAAAGCTATCCAAGATGAAATCCGTTCAGTGATCAGACAGATCACAGCTACAGTGACATTTCTGCCACTGCTGGAAGTTTCTTGTAAGTATTGTACAACTTCACATTCGCTTAAATTTGTTGGGGAAAAGACTAAGCTACTGCTTTAAGACTTACCCCTACATTAAATTTTTTCTTACCAAAATCACATAATATAAATGAGGAAAAAAGCATTATAAAGCAAAAGTAATGTTATATGCATTCTAGAAAATTTGGAAATGCTGAAAAGGAAAGCAATGACAGTATTCCACAGTACTCCCTCTTGAATCTTTTGATGTAGTTTCTTTCACTGTTTTTATTTTCTGCACATTTTTATGTCTGTAATTAAGACTGTGGCTCTGATTGTGTCTTGCTTCTCTTAGTTACCACTTCATTTATCAGATGGTTCCTGAATACCTACTGTATGTCAGACACTGTTCTGGGCACTAGGACGCAGCAGTCACAGAACCAAGATGTTAGCTTTCCTGTGGCTTATTCATGCTTATCCCATATGATTACACACTTTCTGCAAATTTTTAAAGGTTTTCTCATCAAAGAAAAAAACCTTGAAATTTTCATAAAATATTATATACAGAGTGCAGTATTTTCTGTACTAAAATAAATTTCCATTGAGGAAAAACAATTAACTAGTGATTAGAGACCAGGCTAAACTATGTTTTCTAACACTATAGGTGGATGAAAACGTGAGAGAGACACGGAGAGCAGTTTCACTTTTGAGGAAGTAATGTACTTTCACGGTTTTATCCCCGTTTTAGGTTCATTTGATCTGCTGATTTACACAGACAAAGATTTGGTTGTCCCTGAGAAATGGGAGGAATCAGGACCACAGTTCATTACCAACTCTGAGGAAGTCCGGCTTCGCTCATTTACTACTACAATCCACAAAGTAAATAGCATGGTGGCCTACAAAATCCCCGTCAATGACTGAATGAGGTCAGGACAATAATGTACTTGTAATTCTCAAATGTGGTTTTCCTGAAGGCAAGTCAACTATAGTTGATATGTTTTATTTCATTGGTTAATTTCTAGATGGGGAAAACTTGACATACTTTACTGAACTATGCATAGTTGTTCCATTTTTTTGGTACCTGTTTGACTTTCCATTGGGTTGCCATTATTTATTGCATGCTGTTCAGAGGGGAAGCAGGAGATTACATCAGCATTGTAATGTCAATTCCTTTGAAACTGGTAACTGTAGATGGAAAAACTTTTGCTATAAAGCTAAATGCCTTCCTCAACCAGACTTTTTGGTCAAGTAACTTGACTCAGAATATGGGGAGGGAGAATTTAAAAATAAAATACAGCAAAAGAACTCTGAGTATTCAGAAGCTTTGTTTAGATCCTGAAAGTAACTGTTATTATCCATAGGTAATGAAATATTGCTCCTATTAGGTCCTTTTGCCATTTATTTCATTTGTATAGTTTCCATATTAAAAAAATTTCCAATTATTTGATTTTAATTTATATAACTTGAACCCAAGAATTTATGGATATCTCTATTGGTTAAATTCCTGTGATACAGAACTCTTAAAAATGTCTTTATGTTTTATAAAATCAAGCTTTAAATGACGGTGAAATAAAGTTAAATGTGTATGTTTTAAATTTGTCTTGAAATATTTTTCTATTGATGTGGTGTTAATACAGTTAAATGGTAGTTAGGGTGGATTCTGTATGGCAGATGATTTCGCATGCCCACTCGGTTGTAGAGCCAAAGGATGCAAAGTTAAATCTTGGGGTACTCTCAGCTTAATGGACAAGCTTTGATTGTACTTCGGCGTACTTTGATTATACTACGTCTCATAACAGTAGATTTAAAATAAGCCTCTTTGTTTGTAAAACAGTAAATGTCATTTGGAATTAATTCAGTTTAGCACATGTTGAATTGGAGTGCCTTTCTACACGTTAAGCCTTACTGTCAGCCTAGTTTTCCTTATATACTTAAGCACTATGTTTATTCCTCTGCCTTCATTCATGTTCTCATCAGGTATGTTATTTCTAGCCAGTTCCCACCTATTTTTCTGAGGTCGGTTTAAGACAAACTTCTAAAAAGTCTTTTCTCATCTCTATTCTAAATCTTAGCTCATTTTGTAATAGTTCAATTTATTAACTGCTTAGTATCAGGCACTGTTCTAAGCTCTTTATGTATATTAATTCACTTAACGTTCACTATTAAGTAAATACATATAATCCGTATCCATTCATTCAAAAATTACATATTGAGCATCTATTAATGTGCAGAATACTGTGCCAACTGCCAGAATGAACGGAACAAAGTCCTGGCCTTTGTTTCATTTTTTGGAGGATTTGTAGAAAGGAGAGGAGAATATATGGTAAAGGACCATGAAATGTTCAAACAGGTTCATTTCCATATGTATTTGTCTTTGTTATTTCTCCTGGATAATCTTATCTCTTTGATCCAATTGTGTGCTTGTTAAGAATAAAGGACAATGTCTTTCATTTCATCTCAGTGTTCGACAAATAGGTGCCAATATTTGATGATGCGCATGGCGAAGGCTGTTGTGAAAGCCCATTTCCTAGAGAGTTGTTGGCGCTGTCTAGTTGAGCTCCACCCACAGGCCTTTTTTCTCAGAATAAGAGAAGTAGCTTTGCAGAAATGGAAATGATGTTGAATTAGGTATAGTCAAGAGTCAGGTTTCCAAACAACATGAGGTATATTACAAGTGGACACTATTAAGATGAAAACATTTGAATTCTCGGTCTATTCATTACCTCTTAACATTCGAAATATAGGTTGAGAAGGAAAAGAGAAATAGAACTTTAGTAAAAGTATGGAGAGAGTTGAAAAATGTGGTCCCATTTTAGGAAATGTGTTTGAAAATCTTTATAGAATGCAGTGACTGCTTCAGGAAACATTGAATGCCTCTTTGCTAAACAACGGGAATAGTAATTTCTGTCATCTATGTCTTTATTTGTCAAATTAAGTGATCCTAATATTACTACTTCTATTTGTGATTTATTATGCTACTGACTTCTTAAGAGTTATGTCCAGGAATTAATGCTCTGGATTTGCATGTTAGTCTCAATAATAGGAGCTTCTTCCATACAATCTGTGGCCTACAAGTTTCTCTATAGAACTAGATCTGCATCAGCTAGGCTCTTGTTTATCTGAAAACAGCAAAAACTGGCTTTGGAAAAATTCACTGGAAGACTATTAGCCGCATAGGGCACCGAAGGAAAGGCTGAAAACTGGAAAACCAGTGCAGCTTCACAGTTCTCAGTGACAAATTCCTGAATTCTGCATAACTTTATAAATAGACCACTGATGTTACCTGGTCATCTATCCCAATGACTGATAGTTTCAAGAAAAGCGACAATGAAAAGCTTTGTGTTTTAACAATCTGAGATGTAAGACTAAGAATTCTGTGAAATCACATTTTAAGTATTTTGAGCACTTCATCTCAGCCAACATTGTTAACAGAGTTAAATTAGATTTTTACGTTGTCTGCATGTTTATATTTACTCTTGTGAGGTTTCTGAGAGCTAGTTATGATCCTTTTTCATCCCTTACAGATCATGTATCAATTAAATATACATATCCAAGTTGAGTAGGAGCCAAGCTAAGCTTTATTGGTAAAACTAGATTGGAAAAGCTTTGGCCTGTGTCTCCAACTGGACTTGTCCCACCCTCCTACACTTTGAGGCTCACCTTAGCAGGCAGATGTTTAAACTGACAGTTGAAAGAATCGTGACCGACTCCCAGCCCATGTTGAACACAGAGAAGCCAACACTCCAAGAGAATCTGGTGGGCCTCTAGACTGGCCTAGACTTTGACTCAGTTTTGCTTACCATAGGCAGAGGAATGAAAACACGTTCCAGTCGAGCCCATCAAGGTCTGAAATAGAGCCCCAGCAGGGATTGAAGCACATTTGGTCTTCAGGATCGTTCTCCCAGTGTCCCCAATCGGAACAGTCAAGCCTTCGTGGGAAAGTTTACACTGAGGTATAACAGTCTCATGTATGAGTTGGCTTATGCTGCATAGCAAACAACTATAAGAATATCAACAAGAAGCCTTTTCCGCTGCAAGTCTGCAGCTCACATGTCTCATTCTACCATGGAAGGGGCAGTAGCTAGCCAGAACTCCTAAGGCTGAGCTTCAGAACTCTTAACACTGACACTTTTCCCACATTTCATTGGCCACAGCAAGTCATGGCTAAGTCAAACTTCAAGGGGGCAGGAAATTACACTCCTCCAATGGAGATGGGTGGAGGGATGTGTGAAAATCTGATGAAAGTGATCTAATCGACCAGAGGTTGATAAACTTGCTCTGTAAAAGGTGGATAATAGTTTAGATTTTGCAGGCTTATGGCCTCTTGGCCTAGTCAAGTCGGTCATTGTAGCTTGAAAGCAGCCTTAGACAATAGGTAAGCGAATGAGCATGGCTGCGTTCCAGTAACAGATAGGCGGGCTTCATCTGGCCCGTAAGTTGTAGTTTGCCGACCCTGTAATAGATCAGTTTGCTCTTCTGGTGACAAGTGTTCAAACCCCTCTCTAGCTCAGAATGTTTGATTTTGTGATATTTAAGGCTCACATTTAAAACACTGTCATTTGTTGTCTCCATCCATAGGATGTCAAGTTGGATCTTTCTCTATTTTACCTCAATCCCATATTCTCTGAAACAACTGGCTGTTCTTCTGAGGTACTCCTCAGGATACCCGACAGTGAATTTTGATCTGAAAACATGAGAAGGGAGGTTCTTTGGCATATGATGCATAAAAAGAGACTCGGAATAACATAAAGGCCCTATACCTCTATTTTTAATCGCTCTGTAAACATGTATGCTGAATAAATGTTTTTATGATTAGAATGCATTCAAGTTTCTTAGTTTCATAACCCTCATATATATTTTAGAATATAGACTCAAAAATTATTAGCATAATGTAGGTATCCACATAGACATTATATTTTTTCCTTTACTTTCTGTTTTCATTTAGTTGCTTAGTCTGCAAAATTTATCTTAATTTTGTTATACAGCCATGTGTCGCTTAATGACGGGGAATTGTTCTGAGAAATATGCCATTAGGTGATCTCGCCGTTGTGCAAACAGCATGGACTGTACTTACGCAAGCCCAGATGATAATAGTCTATACACACCTCGGCTGTATGGTGCTATCTTATGGGAACACTGCCATACGCCATCTACCATTGACCAAAACATGTGGTGCCGGACTGACTGTACATGAAAGATCAGGACAGCTGTAATAATGCCACATTCTAATACCTATGTTTTCCACCAGATGTCACTAATGCTGTAATATTCAAATTAAGGTGAATTTCTTTGTCTCTAAAGACTATAATATTCAGCTTTTCTTATTGGAAGTTAACAGGATTTCTGGCTCAAAAAATATAAAGACATCAGGATGAAAAAATACAGTATCTGTTATTTGCTAGGTACTTTGCATGAATTATTTTATTTAATTCTCATGCTTTAGCGCACAAGTAGAATTGTGGGGTCAAGGGGCATGCCAATTACGTGGCATTTTTTAAAGTTTAAGCCTCTTGGGTCCACAGCCCAGGAAGCTCTTCTGACTCCCTAAGAAGCACATCAAAAGCAGTGTTTCTTCACCCTTTTCCTAACGGCTCTTACCTTTTACATCCTTTTAGCAATCGAGTGTCCAGAACAAATTGGTTTTCCTTTACTGTACCTTACAAAACTTGACCATGTCTCATTGGGTGAGTTCATGTTTACACTTTCCTCACATGACTTTAACCGCTAAATAGAAGGAACCAAAGACAGGGGACTTCATCTTAACCTTATCTATTGTTTAAAGAATAAACCAGGTGTGAATTTGTGAGTAGTTGTGAAACATAGTTTTCCAACTAATCAGAAGAATTGTTATTAAGTAACTTCAGTTACTCTTTGGGGAGTTAATTTTTGGCTTAATTTGTAAACAATAATTTCTTACTCTTTTTTACTAAATAAGTTATTTTGTTCAATGTAACCATAATAAAAGTTTGTGTTGGAATAACTATGGAACAGAACCTGTCTACTAAATTTCTAATTTTATTAGTTACATTTTCTAAAAACAGCTCTTTTGCGATCATTCCATTTTTCATGAATATGGCTTCATAGCAGTATTAACTGATGCTTATTTAAAAAAAAAAACAACTAGTTGGGAAAGCCACTTAATATCCACTCAAGTTGACAATCCTGTTCCAATCTGGCAAAAACACTGTAGCCCTAGCAACAAAACCATTAGGAAAGGCTTGGAGAGAAAAATGCCAGAGTTGACCCTCTGATTACACAAGTCAGTTTATGTTACCATTTCACCTATTTTTGTCCTCTTTGTCCATTTGATCTATTTTTATACTGGAGAAACATAGTTTCATTTATTTGTATAAAGTCCATTTTCATCTACTTTTATCTGCACCATTTTGCCATGCAAGCTTGTTTGCACAAGAAACTTACATCAGATCAAAATTGTTGTCTTGGAATTTTATCTGTGCTGAAAAAAGCCTCTAAGTATAAGCAAGACCACCCATACTCCACTTCCGTGCAAGCAAGAGATCTCAAATGTCTTTAAAAACTATCTAGCTATGGACATATCCAGTGCATGCCTAGACATGGATATGAATTTCTTTCTGAGTGGCAGTCTCAACTAGCCACGCTCGGGAGTTAGTGGTTTTAAAGATTGCGTCTGGGATGCCCAAGATCTTTGATGTCTAAAATACAATTCTTGGGTCACTGTGCACTCACTCATGATAGCCAATACAGCTCTGCAAAAACCGGTTCACAGCTTCCAGGTGTAAGAAAGGAAATTCATGGGTAATGATCATCTGCTGAGCGCCAAGCACCAATTAGGTACCTGTTCAGCCTGGTTGCTTCTAAGTGAATGGAGGTTGGGGTTGGTGGGGGAAGCGGGAGACGTGAGCCACAGCCTGTGGTCTTGGAAACTGGTGATGGGACATGGGGAGAGCCATGAGGCAAAGAAAATACTGAAGTCTGAGTCCCAAATGAGGAGTTCTCTGGAGTTAGAAACAGCCCAAAAACCTCCACTGAGGGTGGTGAGAAGAAAAAAGTGCAGAAAGAGAAGGAAGACTTGATCCAAAATGAAGGTTTTACAACTGCTGATGCCCAGAGAGTCCCAGAGGATAGCCGTGAAGAAACACCAAGGAGAAAGAAGCTTCAGAGTATCTTCAGCTCAGTTTGTGGGCAGGGAGGGGATCAGGCATCAATCTAGAGCATTACATGCATTATCTCAATCCTCACAACATCTCTGTGAGGATTATTATCCCCTTCTTACACATGTAAAACCTGAGATTCAGGAAGGCTAAGTAATTTGTCCAACTTCAAATATCCAGACTCCATCCCCAGGCCCGGCTGCAAAGCCAATATTCTTTCTACTATATCTCATTGCCTCTCAGACAAGGGAGGGCCCCCTGCTCTGGTGCGCCCGGATCAGCCAAGAAGACTACAATACCACATGAGTCTAACTCCAAGTTGGGGAAGTGAGGACTTGTAGCCACAATGTTACAGTATCAAGTTGCATCAAGTTTCATTAACACTTTTTCATAATAAGCTATCATTAAATGTTTATAAACATAGAGCATTTTCCTGTATAATAAGAGCGTTCATTTTCTTCCACCAACATTTTCTTCTTTCATTCTTTCAGTTATTTTTGTAACCAAATTCTGTGTTGAAACTTGGGCTTTTAACCAGTTTGAGACGTAGACACAAGAAACAGAAGGAGATTGATACGTATGTATTATCCAAATGACGGGGTTGCCCCGTAAAGCTGGGCTGAAGAATGAGGCTTAGACCTAAAGCAGAAATAGGGTTTCCTCCTCCTCCTCCATAAATGCGCTGTGGAAAGGTCAGACAACTTCAGTCTTCCTCACAAGCAAACTGCAACCTGGGAGTGAGCCCTGCCTGCTGAAAGCCACAGGCAGAAGTAGAAAGCACTTTACTTGAGCTCTTGTAGGTCTTAGAAAGATGCCTTCTTTGTAGCTTGGGATGGAGTGAGAGAGCAGGTAGAGAAAGGGGCCCCAAATATTTCTCCAGTACCACTTTCCGTTATCAGGATTGGAAGGGAAGCCTGAAGAGTGGCGTAACAAGCATGCCTCCCAACATTTGCCTGCTTTTTAATCTTTTGGTATACTACAGTGTGTTCCATTGGTGTTACGTGAGTTGATTTTAGGTAGCATGCAGAGAGGCATTTAAAAAATATTTATTAATTATGGTATGTATTTTAATCTGTATTTAGAAAAATATATAACATTTTTAACACATTTCATGAGCAAAAGATTTTAAAAATACACGGAATATTTAAAAAATATATCAGTATTAATATGGGTGATATGGAAATATAGAAAAATCATGAAGGCGGCACGCATATCTTCAAGGTTGGGAAGCAACTTCCTAACCCAATGTACTTAAGCAAGTCAAAAGTAAGCCAGCGTGGGCTGTCCCTAAGCAGGGCAGCCGCATGCTCACACTGTTACTGTGCTCCCGCCATGAGCCCTGCTTCTTTCTACACAGAGTCCCTCTGGAACTGCTGGTGGGCATTTCACTTTTTGCCCACAAGAGACTCCAGCAACATGAGTCAGACAGGATTCCTGCAGCACCCCAGCTGAAAATTCACTCCCTCTTCTATTTCTTATCACTAATTATGCCCAGTCATATTGTCCAAAATAGCTCACTAGAGTTTATGAATACAAGGACTAGATCAACAACATAAAAATGTCCAAATTTGAACAATATGAAACTCTCCTTATTATTCAACTTCCCCCGAATTACATCCCCTTGCAAATAAAAGCCCATCGAGATTAAAGTGCAAATGCCTTCATTCCCAATTTTACACGGTTGGCTCGTCTCAGCCAGAGGGTGTGACTCAGATCCCGGGTTCCTCCAGCTGCAGCTGTGTCCTGGGCTGTCCTTCACAGGAATGGATGTAGCTTCCTCAGCCTTTTCAAAGTTAATTCAAATTGCTAGTTAGTTCTACTCTCCAAGGAGTCAGTAGTCACAAAAGACACTGCAGCTCCACTATAGAAATTATCACAAGCAAAATTACGGCCCCAAATTAAGTGAATGGTGTGATGTCGTTCGACTTTGCCATTGTCAGCCAGAGAGCATGGCACATACCTTAGTGGTACCTGTGTTGGAGACAGCGAGGGCTATGAACAGCTGGGTTTCAGTCCTACGCCAGGCCAGCCAGCTGCATGGGCGCCAAGTCCACAGTGCAGATCTGTTCTCTCCAGGCAGAAACTGCCCATCAACAGTTGTGTGGCCACATGTCTAGCATGTGTGTGTATTTCTTTGTTTTGTTTTGTTTTGGTGACGCTTGTGAAGATCTCCCCACATATATTGCCTGCTTTCTTATTGAGACATTATTGCCTTCTTAGAAAATTTAGATACTCCAGTTTCTTCATTTCCTTGTGTCTAGTGTCTGGTGCTTTCTGCACTTCAGTGCAAGGTTGTGGTCGGTCTAGAGAGAACTTCGACTCCCCCATTCCTCCATGTATGTTCTCTTCAGGACAAGGTACCTTCTTCTCTTTGAAAACATGAGGAATGGGGTAACGGCTATCCCTCCACTCCCTTAGCACTAGATTTTAACTTAATAATATCCCACATTTTATTTACTCTGATAATAGTAATTGTCATCACTCTTCCATAGACTTTTCATTCCTACCTAGGCAGGCTGAGTTGGACCCAGCTAGGCAGTAGGAGACCAGAGTCAAGATTTTTTTTAAAAAAGTTAAAATACCAAGATCACAATAAGGGCCACTGAGTCAGGATTACTCTTGTCAAGAAGTAACAGAAGGATACCAATGTTTAGCAAAACTTTAAGGAGATTCCAAACATCATGGAGTAAAGTAGTCAAAACGTCGTATTCCAAAAGGATGGGCCATTGAAAAGACAGAACACAAGCACACACACAGAAAAATACCCCAGAAAACCTAAACATCAGGGCGGAGCCTTCTCTATTCCCTTCCACTGCTCCCTGTCTCCGTGGGACCTGACCGTTGGTGTAAGGAGAGAGGCTGCAGCTGGGGAAGGAAAGGGTGCCAAGAGCTACAGCTGTAGAAAGCCGGGTTTTTTCCTTTTAACTTTTAGAGTGTGGCATTAATGCACAAGTTTTAAAAATTCAAGCAGTACAGAGTGGTATCAAATGAAAAGTACATTCTCTACCTGACCTCATTCCCCTACTCCCCATTTCTCTTCCAGCTCCCAATTTCTAAACATTTTTTGTTCTGCTGGTGGTTATCATCGTACCTCTGAAATGTATGTTAATACTTCCATTTCTTGCTTATCAACTTTAGATAGTATCTATTAAAGAGGAGAATCTTAGTTCAGATTCCTTTATCCATCCACTCCTAAGCTTTTCCGGTTACACTAGTTTGATTCTTCTGGTGGTTGTCTGTGATTTTAAAGAATATGCTTAAACTCTGTATTTTGTCACATCGATTTTAGATAGTGTATCTCAATTCCTTGAGAAAAAATGTGTGTCTGACATTACCTTCCACATCTCTCTGCTGCTTTAACATTCAGACGCTCATTTTTTTCATTATTAATGTTAGTATGAGATTATCTTTTATAATTATCTTCCAAGTTTTGTTTATATGTTGATTCTACAAATTGAAATACCTTTTACATTATTCTAATTAGTAAACTACTCCTTAGTGAAGAGAAAAATATTTACTATTGAGGAAAAAAGGTAATCGTTAAAACTGCAAGGTCAAGTGGGATTCCTAAAACTCAATCTTCAAGACTTTCTATTAAATTATTAATGTGGCCAATCATGCCCTTAATTTCCAAGAAATCTTTCTCCTTCTTTGGTTGTTCTTGTTACATAGCTATCTATTCTTTCACTTCTTGACTCTGAAGATATTAGGTGGGTTTTTTTTTCTTTTTTTTTTTTTTAAGATTTTATTTTTTCCTTTTTTCTCCCCAAAGCCCCCCAGTACATAGTTGTATATTCTTTGTTGTGGGTCCTTCTAATTGTGGCATGTGGGATGGTGCCTCAGCGTGGTTTGATGAGCGGTGCCATGTCCGCGCCCAGGATCCGAACCAACGAAACACTGGGCCACCTGCAGCGCAGCGCATGAACTTAACCACTCGGCCACGGGGCCAGCCCCCTAGGTGGTTTTTTTTGATCAATTATTTTTTTCTGTTCTCTTAATTATCTGTTTTCTTCAAGAGTCAACTGTCATATCTATTCCACTTGGACCTTCTCATTTTTGCTGTTGGTTTCTTCTAAATTTTCTGGGTTTTTTCCATATATATTAATGATGATCAGTGATGATCAATATTGGTAGTGTGATTTTCCATTGTGGTGTCAGACCTCGCCCTTGACTAAAAAGATGGATGGCAGGCTTATGTACATGTAAACTAGGAATACTACTTGAGAGTACATTTAGATATTTTGTTTATCGTGTGTTTTTTTGAAATTTGAAATCGATTTTTTGAAATTTGAATTTTAAGTATATGGCATTAAAATATCATTTATCTTGTTTACTTAGTTTTTTGGCACACCCTCAAATTTTTTGTGCCAGTCTTCACTCGGTCACTACAGTATCTGCCTTGGACCAAGGGCCTGGAAAGTTAAACGTAATTTCCAGGGATGGTCAGCAGAGGACAGCAAAGGGTAGTGGAGCAGGTGTTCACTGTCAAGCCCTGGGCATCCCTCTCTTTTCCCTCTCTTTGTGGGGGTCAAAATCAATTCGCAGAGGGTAGGAGGTCCAGAGAGCCAGAATCAGGAAAGAAATTACTCACATGTTGGGGATCCAGCTGAAGAAGCAGTGGAAAGCTTTAGCCACAATTCACAACCTGGTATCTGTCACAGAGACATGGACAACTAGACATCAGGAGGTCAATCAGCAGTCAGAGCACTTTCACAATCCTGACTGCTCCTCCCCACCCATCTAAAGCCCCAGGTCTGGGTCTTGAAAGGGACAAGGGTTTACTTTCCACCTTGGGAGCTGATGCAAACTTCCTGTCTGAGAGATGGTCCATGCTACCAGCAGGGGCTAAGGGCTCCACAAGCAGGACAGGGCAGGACAGATTGAGCGGGCTCTGGGCACCAACTGCCGATGCTGACAGTTCATGAAAACCCTCAGATACATGCCAGTTAAATAATTTGGGAGCCAACCTCAACGTACTATGGCTTCAAATGTATTTCCTTCCCTCCTCCAGAGGGCAAACATTGTTTATTGTGGAAACATTTTATGACTTTGAAATTAGACAAATTGGATTCTGTGAATTGTTACGTATGCGGCTCTCAGTTAACTTTACTGAGCCTGTTTCTCCACCTGCAAACATGGAAATAATGATTCTTATCTCACAAATCTGCTTCAAGGAAATGAGATGATGCACATAAACTGCCTGGCGAGGAGCTTGGCAACTTGTGGCTTATCGGTATTACCACCTGTTCTCTCTCCCTCTCTTTGGTCATGGAAGAATACCCGTGGAAAAAAAAAAGAATACCCGTGATATTGCTTTGCTATTTTTGAATATCTAGTCTCACTGTCTCCTATAAGCATAACTAACAAGAACTGAGGGATTACTGTGTTAGGTACCACACTAAGTTTCCCGTGTATTATCTCATTTAATTCTCATAACAACCTTGTGGAGCAGGTACTTTTATCATCATCTCTATTTCACAGATGAGGGCATTGAGGCTTTAAAGTGTAACTGGTTTTCCCAGTGTCACGTGGGTAGTAAATACTGAGGAGGGATTCAAAACCAGGTAACTGGATTCCAGACCTCGAGCTCGACTCTACACAATCTATTTTCCAATATAGACATTTAATCAAAGATTTAAAAATCTAAAAGAGAAAATAGAAGAAAGAAAATAGTCTTGTCTTTGTGATGTGCTTAATGTTGGTATTATTGGCATAGGATCACCTTAGACTAACTCTTGTATTTGATATTTAGGGTGAAAAGCTCAGTGTTCAATGAAATAAATGAAAACAGACTCTGTGACTGTTATTCCATTTAGAGCTCTTTCATGAAATCAAAAGAAATACCAATGGCGTTTTGGAAGAAATTAAGTGTTAACCGTTACATGTAAAGATAACTATCACATGACTGAGGAAAGTTCCCTTGATCTTTCTAAGAAAAAGTTTTCTCTCCTCTGCTTCCTTACAAGGGGAAGGTGGTGTCAAAGCAGCACTTCTTTCTCAATGAATCCTAAAAAAACAGTCCCTCGCAATCCTGTTTTTATATAAGAATCACTCAAAAAGCTTTTTTAAACTACAGATCTTCCGGATGTGATGACTCAGGACCCCTGGGGAGGAGGGCCTGAAAAGCTCCCCTGGGCGATTCTGATGCCTATCACGACTGATCGTCAGGAGCTGGACTCTAGAAGCAGAGAAGTTTTCCTGGCCTCCAACCTCTCTGGACAGGAGAGGCTGAGAAGGGCAGACCATCAAGGAACTGGAGGAGGTGCAGAGATAAGTCCGCCGACGTTTCTTACCTTCAATAGACTCAGTTGGATGCGTGATGGGAGGCCAGAGAGCATTGCCCAATGAGGCTCCGTGGTTCTAAATACAGTCAAGCATGTCCAGACGAGCTTCGTCCCTTTCAAAGTGGGTAGAAGTCTCCGGAGGCCACTGTCATTATGCCGCTTCCATGCTAATTTGGTTTTAAGATGAGAGGCTTTAACAAGGTCCCAAAAGACTAAAAGGACCTGTACTTCTGGCCTCTATAGACCTTTCCATGCTTATTTCATTTCCCTGTACCTTCTGTTAGGGTCTGCAATCGAGCAACTATTTCACGTCTCTGGAACTTCATATCCTTGAATTCTCCCTCTTCCACATGAAGAGTGAGACATCCCCTCCCGACACCTACTCCCTCCCCTTCCCTTCTCTCCCCTCTCCTTTCTCTCTATTTAATTCCGAATTATCCTTAAAGCTCATTTCAAATGAGCTCTTCAAAGAAGCCTTACTTGCCTGCCCTCCCCACAACTGAAATCGGGTGTCAGGTCCTCTTTTCATTTCCCATCTCACTCTCCAGTCTTTCTCTACGGCACCCACCAGAGTCTGGCCTTCCACGGTGAGTGGTGGGACCCTTCACTCCATTTGTGTCTCCCCCATTCACATCTAGGTCATGTGGTTTTGTGAGAGTTGGTGGGGTCCCTTTTGCTCTCTGCTCCCGGTCCTAGCCAAGTGCCTTTTTCCTGGTACAGGTTCAAACACTGTTGAACGAATGAAGTCAATGAAAGACAGACTGTTTTAAATCATCTTTTTTTCCTCCATCTGCGGCAGAAAACAATTTCATTCCTTCATTCAATAACATTTTCTGAATTCCTCCAATGTGTCAATGCCAGTGAGAGTTAAACAATAAATCAAATACCGACTCTTTCCTCGAAGTCCTTAGAGACTAGTGTGGAATAAAAGATAGGTATTCAAATAACTGTTAGAGGAGCCTATAAGGGCAACCACAAATTTGTTAGAAGGATCAAATTTCAGTCCTCCATAGTTGTCCAAGGAAACAGACCGTCCCTGTGAGAAGAGGTTAGAGGGTCACTCTCACTCTGCTGTGTGACCTCCCCAGGCAGCCGGAGTTGAATCCTTTGTGCTACATCATGGCTGCTTGGATTCAAAGGATCTCACCTATCTGGGCAGCAGCCTCTTCATTTATAAAATGGACAATTTTCTAGTAGGAAGAAAACACTATCTTCACATAAAATGTTTTAGCAGACTATGGTAGGTTCCATAACACTGAAGAAGATAGATGGCAAATAAGCACATGAAAAGATGTTCAGCATCATTAACCGTTAGGGAAATGCAAATTAAGTCCACAAGGAGATATCACTACACAGCGTAGCAGAATGGCTAAAATAACAAATGACAGCACCAAAAGCTGGTGTGAATGTGGGGAAACTGAGTCACTTGGACAGTGCTGGTGAGACTGTGAAATGGCACAGCCACTCTGGAAAACAGTTTGGCAATTTCTTAAAAAACAAAACACACAGCTACCATGCCACCCGGCAATTGCATGCCTGGGCATTTAGCCCAGAGAAATGAAGACTTATGTTGACACAAAAACCTGTACACAAATGTTTGTAGCAGCTTTATTTGTAATAGTCAAAAACTGGAGATAACCCACAAGTCCTTCAACAGTTGGTTAAACAAACTGACATATCCCCATCAGGGAATACGACTAAGAGATACAAAGAAATGAACTGTGAGTAACTGCAACAATCCAGATGAATCTCCAGTTTTGCTGAGTGGAAAGGAGCAAATCCAAAAAGGTCACATACTGTACGATCTCACTTATGTAACATTCTTGAAATGGCAACATTACAGACGTGGAGAACAGATGCGTGGTTGCCCAGAATTAAAGAGGTGGTAGTGGTGGGAAGGAAGTCTATGGGGCTGTCAAAGAGGAAGACAAAGGATCCTGTGGTGATGGAAATGTCCTGTATCTTGACTGTGTCAATGCTACTATCCTAATTATGGTATTGTACTATAGTTTAGAGAAATAGTACCATTGGGGGAACCACGTAAAAGGTTGATGTAATTTCTCTAGGTTGTTTCTTACAACTTCCTGTGAATCTACAGTTATCTCAAAGTAAATAGATTAATTTTAAAAACTCAAAAGATGGAGGCAAAACCAGGGAAACAGATATGTCAGTTTGTCAGTTATGGCATGCGCCTTAGAACCCTGACGTCATAATGGCCACAGATCTTGACAACACCAGAATCCTCAGGCTCCAGGGCCTAGTTTACAGTGCTCTGCTAAGTGCTGTAGACGTGCTCGATAGTCAGTGCCAAGAATTGAAGAAAACGGGATGTTTTCGTCAATCAAAAAGCGTTTTGAGCTTTCAGGTGGTCCTTCAAGGCTTCACCTCAGCAGGTAGTCTTTTAATATACTACTCTTGATCGTCCAAAGGGACTAGCAGTCACAGGAAGTGTTCTGTTTTGTTTTTCCTAAAACATGGGAACTGATTCTTACCTTCAGCACTGGTTTCGTGAAAAGCTACTCATGTTCACACAAGGTTCAGTGCTGCTGAGCACAGAAAGCAGGCTTTACATACTCAAGGGAGACTCTTTCTTGGCTCCATGAGAGAGAATTTTCTGTAGATCTATGACAATATCTCCCTATTTATGAAAGAGTTTTTGTGTCCTGTGAAATTTAGTTGTTTTACCTTTTATGACCAAAGAGTCATAGCTTAGAGCTTAGTTATAGCTCAACAAAATAATATCTAAGACCCTGTGGTGTTTAGAAACTTTTTGATGTTTCCAGTATTATTTGCTGATCTTTGAGAATTTCCCCCAAAAACTTGAATACTGATTTAGATACGATTGGAATCAATTTTCCAGAATCTTCAGTTATCTAAATTTTTATGTTAACATGAAACTAAATTGTAATTACTTTTTCACAAATCTCCAGATCACTTTATTTTATCTGTCTCAGGCCACAAATTGTCCTGGGTTTTCGTTTTTTTTTTTTTAACCTTCTTGTAATATTCTCAACCTTTGGCCTCTTGGTTCTCCCCTTCCCAACAGCTGGTGGCCATCTTTGCTTTGCTGCTGTCCCCTTTTCCCCACCTCTAAGAGTTGGCATGCCCCAGGGCATGTCCTTGAACCTGTTCTCCATCTACCTCAACTCCCTGTGTGACCTCATCTTTTTTAATAGCTTTCTGTAATTTGGTGACTTGAATTTGAGCTATAGAGTTCTGTTTTGGGGATCGAGGCTAATTTTTAGTGTCGTGTTAACCTTGACCTTTGGCACAAAACTCTATCAGGTATTTGATGGGTGACTGGTTGTCCTGTGGTGCTTGTTGCGTTGCAGGGAAAGCGCTTCTGTTGAGGTGGACACCCACAGTGAAAATGCTACGTCATCTGAGAGTGCCGGATGATCACACCCTGCTGATCCACGGCCCCGTGGAACTCAAGAGAGGCTGGAGGAGGCAGAAGCGGCACCTCTTCTTGCTCAGCGATCTGTTGCTGATAACTAACACCAAGTACGTGTACACTACAGGCTCCTGATTATCACCAGATTGCGTTCTCACTAACCCTTACTGTAGGAAAATATTTAGTGGTTTTCTTCTTTTGCTTTTGCAAATGTTTTCATCCTCCCTTTATTCAACAAGTATTGACAGAGGTCTTGTTCTGTGCCGTGTCCCTGTAGAGAACACGATTGAGAATGTGACAGGCAGGGTCTCTCCTGCCTGGAGCTTCCGGACAGATGATAAAAATAAGAGGAGGGAAATTACACATTGAAGTTAGTGCTCCTCATAAGAGAGAGAAGAGGGTACCATGTGGAGAAGAAAATGGGACCATCCTAGAGAGGGGCTGTCTATGAAGGTCTCTCCGAGGTGGCAGCATTTAAACCAAACCTATGGGGTGAGAAGCAGCCACATTCCTAGACTAGGTGGCTGAGCCTTCTAGGGTGAGGGACCAGCAGGACTCAGTGGGTGCAACTCAGCCCTCTGGAGGGAGGGGTTCAGGAAAGGCTGATGTGACTGGAGCCTGCAGTGTGGGGCGCAATATCAGGTAAGATACTGTGGTCAGGGGTCCAGCCACACAGGGTCTCCACAGGCCACAAAAAGGGTTGAAATATTATGCTGAAGCATATTTAATTAAGCAAGTGACCATATCTGGTTTATAGTTTTAGCATATTGTTCTGCCTACTGGTAGATAGCGGATTGGTGGGTAAGCAAGAGTGGACACAGGGAGACTAGTTGGGGAGGCAGTGGTTCTGATGAAATATGACAAGGACTCCATCTTGGGAGTGGCAGTGAGAAGAGGCAGCAGACAGATTTGGAATATATGTTGGAGACAGAACCAATTGGGCGCACTTTCTTCCCAACCGTGGACACAAATGTAACCAATATCCAGCCTAGAACATGGTAATTGCTCAATTAACATCTAACGGTAGGTGGATGCAAGGTCATCTGTTTACTTGCTTCATCTCTGTTTTCATGATTTATGAAACATCATAAAAGACAAAGAATATTTCACCAAACAAATTATCAAGAAGCTTTTTCATTACTAGAGAAAACGAAAACTCTTTTCTTGGCTGCCCTCCCCGCTAGCTCTCAGTTAGTTACGCCATGTCGTAGGTAAGACACGCAAGTACTGACTTTGCAAAATGCTATATTTAATCTGAGCGACGTTAATGCTAAGAAGAATGATTTATCAGAAATTTTTTCTGTCAGGAATTGTGCTGAGGACTTTAGGTACCGAATCTTGTCTGATCCTTGCAACTACCCAGTGAGATGGGATCATTTTCCTTATCTTATGGAGGACCTTGATGCCCAGAGGTCTGCTGCCTTTCCCCAGGTCACCACCTTAGCAATTAGTGGAGTCCACATTTGAAACTAGGTCTGTTAATTTCAGCACACAGGCTCTTACCCAACCTGTGGTGCTGCTGCCTCTATTCTCTCTTTTGTCTGGATTTCACAGAACACACCACAATCACCTAGTTTCTCTCTCATCCTTGAAATCAACCTTTCCTTTGTGGTGAGGAAATGACTAACTCTCATCCTGGTGAGAAATGGAACTGAGAAACAAATGAGAAGTCTAGCTATCAAAAAAAAAAAAAAAATCAGAGACCAAAATAAAGATGATAAAATATATTTAAGATGAGTGAAATTGCCTCCAGATGTAGGCTTGGAGACGGCAATGTCATAAAGAGGACAGAGAGAAAAAGATTCTGTCCAGGGCTTGGCATGAGGTCCATTCAAAGCACTCTGCTCCTGATAGAGGGAATGAGGCATTATTTTAAAAAATGTAGACTAGTTACCAATCTCTTTATTTAACCAAGGTTAGTATAGGAAACTGAAATTTCTTGGATGCATTCTTGGGACCACACGAGGAGCATCACAGATGGCTTGTTTAGTTTCCCCAATAGCCCTCCAAGGCAGGTATTGTTATCATCTCCAGGCTTCAGATAGGAAGACAAAGACTGAGGAAGGCTCAGGAACTGGCCCGATGTCATACACAGGAAAATGGTGGGAGAGACTGCACTGCAGGTCTGCCTTCATCCCAAGGCCATGCTCTTCCTGTCACACCATGTTGTATTCCTCTGTGCTCAACCTGAGACACACAAAAGCAAGCAACCACAACACTCATCTCCTGCTTGTCAGGACTTTGCAGACCACTCACATTCAATTTTTAAGGGGAATACATTCTCTTTCACTTTTTTTTTCACCTTTGTAATTATTATAGTATTTAGGAGAGTAGGAGACCTTTGTTTTCCTACCAGAAGCCACTTGTCTCAGATACTGCTAACCTCTGAATGGGTCTGATAGAACCTACAGTACTCTGCCAAAAACATTTTATATTGATACAGTGTTCTTTTCTCCTAGCAAATTGCATCCATTTAAGAGCTGAATTTTTATTTTGGTTGGTCCATTATCACAAAAGATGTCCAACATTTTTCACATACTGCTTTTGAGATAGCTCTTTGTGTCTGCTCAAAGGTTTTTCATGATGTGACACAATCTGTATCAATTTATTTAGTCATATTCTTGTTTATGAGACTCAGTTCCTGAAAGATTACTTTTATATACTTTCTACATCCATTGGGAATGTTAGAAAGCGTAGGTGATCTAAGGTATTTGATTTGCTTCATAAGACCTTGATATAGAGAGAGCATAGATTTTTGATAAGGTAACTGTCTTAATCTGGTCAGGCTACCAAAACAAAATATCATCGACTGGTTGGTTTAAACCACAGAAATGTATTTACAGAGATTTGTTTATTTATTGTTAGTGCTTCAAGTGGCCCTCATGCCAAGCCCTGGACAGAGTCTTTTTCTCTCTGTCCTCTTTATGACATCACCATCTCCAAGGCTACACCTGGAGGCAATTTCACTCATCTTAAATATATTTTATTATCTTTATTTTGGCCTCTGATTTTTTTTTTTTTTGATAGCTAGACTTCTCATTTGTTTTTCAGTTCCCTGAGCATTCTGTTCCATTTCTCACCAGGGACAAAGCAGATGAGAGTTAGTCATTTCCTCACCACAAAGGAAAGAAATTTATTTATTTACAGAAATTTATCACGGTTCTGGAGGCTGGAAGTCTGAGATAAGGCTGTCAGCAGGGTTGGGTCCTCGTGAGAGCTCCCCTCCCGGCTTGCAGATGGCTGCCTTCTCCCCATGGGCTCGCATGCCTCTCCTTAGTGTGTGCCTGTGGAGAAAGAGCTCTCTCTCTTCCTCCCAATCCTATTGGATTAGCACCCCACCCTTATGACCTCATCTAACCTTAATGACCTCCTATAAGCTTGATCTCCAAAAACTGACTTGTTGGCTGTTAGGGCTTCAAGGTATGAATTGGGGGGTGGGGGGTGGGGTGGGAGTTGGGGACACAATTCAGTCCACAGCAGGAAGCAAGCAGTACTCAATGCTGCCACCTTGTACAAGAGTTTACCACAGTTTTTAGAAAGCTGGCTACTAGATCATTTCCATAGTAAACATTTGGGTACATTCGTGATTACTGTTCATATGAGAAAATTTATTTATTTTTTTCCCACAAAGAAACAACAACTACAATGAAATAGCCACCCGCAACAAGCCGCTTATTTCCTTTCTGTCACGCCTCGCTCTCAGATGGAGGATTGTGTTATGTCCTGGATCGATCTGTTCAAGTTAATCACCTGAGTTTAGTGCCTGCTTTTTCTGCTCAGGGAAGGGGGTGGAGTGACTTAGGTTCTGTTTTTCCTCAGTGTGTCTTGAGGCTTCAGTTGGAAACTCTGTCTTCTCCAGGTTGATGCTACAGAAACCGACACAAAGGGAGTAAACAGTTGACTGACTGCAGCATAGATATTAGTCAGACTAAATGAACTTCAGTTTGTGTGTAATAATAAAGGGGATTTATATGTTCTTTCTTCATGAGGAAACTATATTTCTCCAGTTGTGCTGGATGTTAATAACAGTCAATGGAAATTGTTTGGAGATTTTCTTCATTTTTTTCATACTACATTAGAAACTTTGGTTCTCAAGAATTAAAGTCAGATGGGACCTTTGTTAACATTTTTGATATTCATTAGAATGCTAAATAAGAAGTTATTTTTCAAATGAAATTATGCCTTGTTTTTTTAAACAGCATCTACTTCATAAGATACTAATACTCGCAGAGGCCCATGGAGAATGTACAGAAAGGAAGAGACTGTACTTACTTAGCTCACACCCCCCTCAGACATCTCTGTCCTCATATTTAGTTATTAAAGAATATAGAAACAATGAAATCAAATTTTGTTTAGGTCAAAAGATGAAGATGACTATTAGCTTATTATCAGTGGAATTACAGAGATTCTTGCAGAAGATACCACGACCCCTACTCCCAGCATCTAAGGGAACACCTGTGCCTTGGAATGAGGGGAATCTCCCTAGAATCTGTGACTTTCCACAGTTCACCGGGGCTCACGCTCCCATGTCCAAGTTGAGGTAGAAGAAAGCGAGAGGGATACCATCATCTCAGCAGATCGATAGCGAGGGCCCACGCGGTAGAAATGAAAACTGCCTTTTTCCTCCTGCTCCCTTTGAGCCAGTTTACATAAGGTTCACCCCTTCTCATTTCTACTGAGATAATCTGAAGAGTCAGTCACTGAGAGCAAAGAAACGCGGTGAGATCTGAGGAGAATCCACTGTAGTACAAGCCTTTGTTGTAATACATTTTCAGTATTTCCAGGCTAGCATTTAGCTTTGTTGATAGAATGTCAGGAGATTGATCCTCTCACTCTCAAATGAGAGAACAATGCCGTCAGAAAGCCTGATGGCTCTGGGGGGAGAAAGGAGGCTGAAGGTAGGAACGATGAGGAGGGCACTACATGGAACTGTCCAGGTCAGCACTCATGGAGGCCGAGTGGTTGTGAGCATAGGCTCATGACTTAGGCTGTCTGGCTTCAAAGCCCATCTCTTGCTTTTGGCAATTTTCTTAATCTCTCTGTGAGTTTCCTCATCCATAAAATGGAGCTAATAGATATAGTGGATTGAGGATTAAGTGAAGTAATGTTTGTAAAATATGTAGAATAGTGCTTGGCATGTGGTGCGAGCTCAATAAATGTTATAGGAGACTGAAAACCATACTCTGGGCTTTTGACAACTCCGTGGTTTGGTTTCAAGGAAGGGGATAATCTTGGGACTTTATGGAACTTTGGAGAGAATTATTGAAATGACTTTTTCAGGTGAATGTATTTGGAATTTTCCACACAGTACCTTAGGTGTCTCTACACATGGACATCTACATTACAAAACTTTTAAAATCTGTAAAAACAGGTAGATACGTGTCTCTCTTTCCTATTGGCAGTATAATATTTTTAGCTTCGTAATGCTTTTAGAGTTACGATCTAGAACAATTATTTTATCTGAGAATTGATAGTGTTTCACACAAATCTTCAAATACATCAACATAGGGTAAAAATGTGAAATAAATGTATAAGAAGCCACCTGTGTCACAAGGCGTATCTGCATTCACTGTGCCCTAACGTTTGAATCTAGGTCATTCTTCAGGTAGGCTTCTTGTAGAATTATTTTCGTTTCATAAATCCCATCGAAGCCTTTGAGCTTTAACTGTCCCATGAGTCAGCAGAGTCTTAGGGGTTTTTGAACCTGAGGTGTCTTGGATCTCATTTTAGCTTTAGCATTTCCACATGCGGTTCTGAATAGGAGGCAATTCCGAAGTGGCGTGCCCATGTTCCCTAGGCATCCTTCAGAGGACTTGTACCGTCTAAATCTCAGGCTCGCCTGAGTGTTAAATTTGTGAGTTAACGAAGAGATATGGTGGTTTCCATGTCAGAGGTCAAAGGAGATTAGGAAGAAACCGTCAGAAAACCATTTCACTGCTGACAAAGTCGATCACCTTCCGATTCCTCAGAGATAAATGGGAAATATCTCCATGACTCACATGTAAACCCTCCTGGGCACTGACGTGGGACCAATCGATTGATTGATTGATTTTTAAGTTGAGTTCAGTCCGCGCGCTAACAGTTTTTCAGTTTTATCTGGAACCTGATAGAAAATGGTATGAATGAAATCTTAATAAAGGAAATTTAAAGTAACCTATGCTTAAATGCTAGAAAATCCTTTAAAAAATTAAGGCTGAAAATGTATTTTAAATCCCTCTGATCCAAGCTTTGTGCTGTTTTAGTCTGATTCTCAAGAAAAAAATTGTATAATTATTTTTATAAATCATGTATCAGGTATCTTTGTTCAGCTACGCAAATGCTTTTTAAAGTAAGCAAGACATGAATGAATAATAAATTAATTATAATAATAAATTCTTAAGTAAATAAAATGATATATGTGAATATAATAACAAATATAACAATAATAATGAATAATAAATGAATTAATGGTTCTCTAGAAAAGCTCTAAAATGTAGAGTATGGTCCGTACTCAATACTCAACATGCAGAAAAATGGCTATTTGCTGCCATCGAGGAAGTGTTTTCAGGGCCTTCCTTGGCCAGGTGTCACTCAGCACACACTTTGTAAAGACCCATCCAACCCCTGGCTGTGCCGTGCACAGAGGGTCACAGAGCTAAAGGAGGCACGTTGCACCCTGGGGCAGTGAGAACTGGCATCTTACCATGAGCACCGCTGTTCCCATAACACTTAAGAAACAAACTAACAGAGGTCTTGTTTGGTTATCTTTCTAGTTACAAAAAAAACTTTAAGATAGAAAATAAAGTACCCCTGAACACCATATGGATTGCCAACTGTTTGGACAAATTCGGAGAAGCCGACACCTGTGCCAAGAGGTCCTTTGTCTTGGGCTGGCCCACGGTGAACTTTGTGGCCACCTTCAGGTAAAACTTACAGCTTCTGTATTCAGTGACTCCTTTTCCGACCTCTCCTAATGACACTTGTATGTACTTTCCCCCAAAAGGTTTTTATATGCAAATGTGTGCTAATTGATCATGAACAATGGGAACTATTGGAGTAATTTCCTTTGGTTTTTGGATCAGTGGTTTTTCAAATGGGCTCTAGGAGCTACTTGGGGAGGTGGATATTCAGGGTGCGTGGAGTAAGGTTTAAGACCCCTCTCAACATCCTGCCCCTAATCCCCAGCGAGTAGCTGTGTTTTTAAATCACTGGAATATCTTCCGTGAGCAAGTACTATTAAATAGTCCAAGTAAGTTTGAAAAATTGCTTTTATACTCCCAAACTCATTCCCTTAAAAATAGTATTTAATTATATAAATAAAATTAATCATGTCGTCAAATACTGGGTTGCCTGAATTGCTGTGTACATCTTGTCTTATTTGGTGTCTATAGAGAGGTGACAATCCAAAACAAAGGTGTGGTCCCAGAGTACAAGTTAGTGTTCCAAGACATGTTCTTAGACTGGCACGAGGATGGGGAATGTGGCCCCCCCCCCCCGCCGCCCCGACCCTGGACATCCTGAGTTTACATTTGGGTTCACAGGGCTCCTTCTTTATATTTGAATAGCACTGCCAGCTGCAGGAATGCTCTGAGGTATAATTAACCCTTTTCCTGTTCTGGAAACTGAAACTCAGAGTGGCTAATTGACTTGCCCGTGCTCACATAGCTTGCCTCACATAGTTGCAATTACGTGTATAGATTCCAAACCAACTGCTCTCCCACTTTAAGATCTATTTCCCATCGCTGTAACACTGCTTGTAAAACAGCAGGGCCCATCAAATGCCCAATGATGAGGAGAGCACAACTGACACAGGCATCCACATCAGTGATAAATGGCTGCTGCTATTTTCATCTGGAATGGCAATTCTAATATCTTAGTATAAGTATTTTATGTAGTTTAATTTTTTTCTCCCTTTTTTTAAATTGCAGTTCTTCAGAACTAAAGGAAAAATGGCACTCTTCCCTTCAAAGGTATTTTTTCAGTATGCATATTTTAAATCTTTGATCCACAATAAAAGATTGCAGATCTCTTCATAGCAGCGCCCTCAAACTATTCTCCCTCTCTCTAGTAGAAGCTGTCCGAGCATCCTCAAGTAACTTCTTGTTTAGATTTACCCGGCTGCTACTGCAAAAATGTCCTCTCACTTACATGCATGTTTTGCTTATTTTTGAGGAAGTTCTGCTTGTCACTCTCATCTTCCCCTTCTCTCCAGCCTAATGGTTGGATCCAATGTTACTCTCAAAACACACGTTCAATTTCCCTAAGTGCAGGTTACTCTACTGAGTGATTCTCAAAGCAGCTGCTACTTCCTACCCTTGAACCCAGGAAGGTGCTGGGCCCTCCAACCAGGCAGGAAAGCTCTGAGGACTGGATCTACTGCCCAAATCTCACACGACAGGGGCAACCCGTTATTTTCTGGGTCATGTCTTATTTTCCTGAAGTATTTTTGCATATTCTTCCAACTCATAATTTGGTTTTGCCGAATCTATTTATATGCTTTCAAAAATAACCAAGTAGACTGAAAATATTAGCAGTATAGATTGATTTGAAAATAAGCTAACAGCCAATTCATCCTGCTCTATTTCAGGTTATCATTGAATTTGATCAGGTGCATCAATCTAGCCAAAGAGGAGGACCAGCCGAAAAGCATTCCCCTCAAAATCATCACTGAGGACATTAAGAACTGTGTCTGTGTGAGTATTTTTAAGACCAAAAATTAAATTAAATTCCAAGTTTCTTTATTTGGGCAGAATGAAAGAGAGAGGCATAGACATAGAGAGAGAGAGATGGGGATAGAAACAGAGAGAGAGAGAGAGAAAGGGAGAGAGAAGGAAAGAAAAACAGGAAGGGGAGAGGAGGGGGAGGGAGAAAGGAAGAGAGGGGAAGAGAAAGAGAGAATTTAGAAGGTACCAAGTGGAAAACTGTATTTTCCTGTATACATACTGTGACATAAAACGTGAATCCTAGGCGATATGAAGCAAGAGGAATCTATGATGGCTTCAGTGCTAAGCATGGAAAGAATATTGCATGGTAAATGTCCATAATGTTTCTCTGGATCCTGCTAATGGTAATTATAGTGGCTTGTTGTAATAAAGTGATTTTCACAACCAGGTATTTCCTATTAGAATGAAACATTTTTTCCAATTGTTGCTACATGCAGAGTGGCCTGGGTTGTTTCCACAGTTTTTTTCTTCCTATGATGTTTTATTTGGAATAATTGTAAAGTTACAGAAAAGTTGCAAAAATGAAAAAGGTATAAAGAACACCCATATACCCTTTAGCTAGATTCACCTATTTAGTTAACATTTTACTCCATTTGCTTTATCATTTATTTTGTTGTCTCTCTCTCCTTCTCTATATTGTGTATGAAGATATCTATTTTTGAGGGTCACACATACGTCGTGGTCCTTTATCCTTAAACACTTGGGTATGTCCTAAGCATAAGCGTATTCCCTTCTATAACAGCATACAGTTAGCGCCTTTAGTGCATTGAACATTGGTGTAATACTTGAAGCTGCCATTCATGTTCCCATTTTGCCGGCTGGCCTCAGTAATGTCCCTTTTCTAGGAGAGAATCTCCTGGAGGGTCAGGTATGAAAAATGTGGAGAAGTTTTGAAAAGTCTTTCATTCTGAGGAATGTCAGCACTAATTGAACTGAAAAGGATGAGACTTTTAAGAGATCAGTATATTTCTATCTTATTTTGTTGATGCCACTGGGGAAAAAAACCATTCACCTCAGTTGTTTATATATAATTTGATCTCTGAAATGTAGTGCAAGAGCCAAGACATTTACCCTGAAGAGTAAATATTCTGGGTGTTTTTTATATCACTTTGTTCTGTTGTACGTTACAGGAGCTCTCGATCACACAAGATAGTATGTGAAGGTGGAAAAAGAGGCAGTTTAAGACAGTTATTTCCTGGCCAGTAGGAAAGCCGTGCAAATATTCTGATCTGTTTCTGGGTATGCGAGAGAAGCTCTGCTTGAGGGGATAAGACTGCAGAGTCCCTAGCAAAGCACACTGCCTGCTCTCATTTCACTTAGGGCAGGGGTTGCAGTCAGAATTTTTCATGGAAAAACACCTTTAAATTTTTAAAAATCAACTTTAATTACATAAACGTTACACAAAACAAATATTTCTACTGTTCTTCATTCATTCCTGAAGATCCCAATTTCCCTCTGATTCTATTTCATTTCATCCTGGAGAAACTTTCCTTAGCATTTCTTGTTATGCAGATCTGGTGCAACAGATTTTCTTAGTTTCTTTTATCTGAAAATGTCTTTATTTCAGCTTCACTCTTGAAAGATGTGTTTGCTGGATGTAGAATTTTGTCTGCAATTTTTTTTCTTTTGGCACTTTAAAGATGTTTCACTGTCTTTTGGTCTTTATGCTTCTGATGCGTTGTCTGTGATCATTCAAACACTAATCGTCTGCATATGATCTGTCATTTTTCTTCAGCTGCTTTCAAGATTTTTTCTTGGTTTTTGGTTTTTAGCAGTGGGGCTAAGTATCAGAGCATGGTTTTCCTTGAATCTGTTTTTTTGCCAAACAAAATCCTGTTTGGCATTTTCTAAACTTCTTGAGTTTTTAAATTTATGTCTTTATGAATGTAAATTATGTCTAAAGTTTGGGAAATTTTGGTCATTATTTCCTCATTTTTTTTTCTTCCCCGTTTTCTCTCTCCTTTCTTTCTGAGATTCTAGTTACACGCATATCAGACACTTTGATGTTGTCCACAGCTCCCTCAGGTTCTGTTAATTTTTTCAGTCTTCTTTTTTCCGCTTTCCTCTTCACATTGGATAATTTCTATTGTCTATTTTCAAAATCAGTTCCTCTTCTGTTTGTCATCTTCATTATGCAATTTAGCCTGTGTAGTTTCAAATTTATTTTTTCAATATTTTTAATTTCTATGCTTAGATTCCTATATTTTTGTTTATTATGACCATATTTTCATTTATACAATTGAGCATAATTGTAATAGCTGTCTTTGGCTAATAATTTGAACGTTTAGATCATCTCAGGGTTGTCCACAACTCTTGAGAATTGATCACGTTTCCCTGGTTCTTCATACATCAAGTAACACTTTAGTTCTTATGAAAAAAATCACATTTCCATTTTTTTCAAATTATTTGATGAAATAGTTTATTTTTTTTAAGGCGTTTGTTTGCGAAGAGCTCTGTCTACTGGAATTTATCTGTTTTGGAGAACAGACAACATGCAGGAAGAAATACACACATCCCTGGAATTACTATTTTGAACATAATGTGTTCCTTATGCCATGAAAAACCGTTATCTTACAGACCAGATAAATTAGGGAGTGATTATTAGCATTTGAAAAGAGATTTTTTTACTTTAAAGAATATTTCATGGGAGAGCTTTTGATTGTATTGAAGGGACTTCAGACATCTTAAAAACAGCAGCACCGTTACTTCTGGTTAGGACCCAAGGGAAACCCCCATGTTTGAATGCCCCCAGACATGTTAGCACAGGAAGCTCCCACCATCCCTGCGTCTGGGCACTCGGAGCTCTACCACTGGGTTCTGAAGCACTTTGTCATAATCCTCAGGGCTACAAGTAGTTGGAAATCAATGAATGTTTTCATTGATAGAAGTCCAATTATAAGCAAGTTTCAGGGCCATATTTCATATCAAGCAATTGAATTCATACGAAGAAAAATACAATGAAAGGACAAGGAATGAATTATGAAAGGATTCCCTTCGTTTTTAATGCATTTTCAAGCCTCTGAGTGTTTCCTTATGCTTCCTGTCTTCTTTAAGCACCGTTTATTGAGGACAGGGGCCTCACTGCCCTATAATACTACAAAACCATGTGCACAGTCAGTGTTCTTGGTCACCGCTTGTCTTCTTTTACAATGTCTTTTGGAATTCAGATAGTTCGATAGATATCTCAGAATCCTATTACTTGCTTTCGGGTACTTTTCTGTAAACTGTCTTCCTATTTTAATGGAGCCGTTTCTCACTGTGAGGTGTGGCAGGGAGCTATTGTGAATACCCTAGTTACTGTCAGAGTTCAGAATGGAACTTGAGTTTCTCAAATTTTCAGTCTAATTTCCTGGACTCATTGGTTTCATTTAATTTTCTCAACATATCTTGACAATGAAAATTTAGTGACCATCATGCCAGACACAAAGAAAGTACTCACTAAATAATAGCTTTTAAAAATGCCTTTTATAGCCAGTTCTTCTGATTTTACCAATACCAAGTATGTAATTGCAAAGAAATAAAGCCATACTACAAAAGCACAACTCAGGAAGAGAAAGGGTCCAGCTCCTCCTTTTTAAACCATCCCCCCTCCATTACAGAAATAGCCTCAAGGTGCTGAGGACCAGCCCATGTGCCCGCCCGGCATTCTTAGTCTTTCTCTTTCTTGCTTAAGCTGTTATGTTTTTTGTGCCACAAATCCTTTAAGAGGAATATTTGATTTACTGAAATGCTTCCTACTAGCCTCATGTTATACAAAGGAATGAAAGTAAATTGTATTTAGGGGTTCATGCTCTGCATGTGCTGTGCTTTGTCATTACCTGAAAACGAGCTTGCCTTTAGAATACGGATAGTAATTTGACAAAAATTATTTAAATTTTTAAAATTTAAATTATAGCAATTTTTCGCATTTATTTTTTACAGTCTGTAACTGTAACAGTGACAAATTCGGATACAGTGAATAACATTATCAACATGTCACTACCAATGCTTGGAATAACTGTAAGTTACCTGCAAACTATTTTTACTTAAAAACCAACTTTAATTTTTGAGATTTGTGTGTGTGTGTGTGTGTGTGTGTGTGCGTAATGCACCACCCATCATGACAACTGATTATTATAGATTTCAAAGTCGTATTTTGTCCCCCTTCAAATTTGGAAATTGAAGGCAGCAAAGCTATATTATTAGCCTATATATGGTTGCTATTCTTGTATTCCCATTTTAAATTTTGTGCAAATGGAAAGTAATAGCATAATGAAATTGGGCTATAATTTTAGAGTGCTAATGGCAACATGCATTTTTATTGTATATATTTTATACATAGACAATAACATAAGATTCTAAATATTTCCTCCTCCACTGGACTGTTCCTTCTGTATATTCTTTCCTGATTCCTCCCCTCCCATCGCCATTTGCCCTGGTTGTCATTCAAGGACTCAATCTCAGTATGATGAACCCTAAATAACATGTTTTCTTGTGAACTTTGACATAAAGACCACCTGGCTAGAAGCTCCATCCCATTGATGCAGACCCTGAGGATGAGTTGGCTGGTGCCCTTTGTGAATTGGCAAAGGAGGAGACAAGTTCTGAATGAGACCACGAATCCGGGGGCGTTTGTGTCCATGTCACTTTCATCCTGTTCTGCTTTTAAGTGTCTGCTCTTTGATATTTTGATGGAGCCAGTGTGAGCTGTTGAAATTCTTTTTGGTGAGAGATACATATATTTGAGGATGAGGTTGTGTCAGGGAAAAGAGAGGGAGAGTGACATCCGGATGGACAGAAATCAAGGAAGCACTTGTAAAGCACGGCTCCTCAAATAAAATTCTCTGGAAATGTAAAAACACCCTGCTATGGTGACAGGACGTAATCACAAGACTTGTATTTAAATTTTGCCTAACCCAATGGTATAATAAAGCCTCTTAAAAGCTAAGGGCAACCAGAATTTTCCATAAGGAGCCAATGATTTCTGTACAAACAGAATTAATAATAATACATTTTAAATGAATTGGAATTTATATGCATGAGTAAAGCACACTTCCGCATTGATTTCTAACCTATAAGATGTGTACACTCTGAATAACAATTAAACCTTGGAAGAGAGTGAGTGTTTTTAGGGATGAGGTTAGGGAGATTGATTAATGATATAGCTCATTTTATTTCATGATTGTAATTTTCCTTTGCATAAAGTGATCAATCTCACTAGACAAGAAAAAATTTCTATTTTAATGAAGAGTTACGGTTATTTGGCTATATATGTATGCCTGATTTAAGAGATTCCAACACAGTGTTTCCAATCCCTACCTTAAAAGAAAAAGTTTTTGGAGGGCGGATCCAAGATGGCGCCGTGAGTAGTCCTCTTTGTCTCTCCCCCTTCGAGTCTACAATTATTTGGACACTCATCGCTTACCAAAGGATATCCAGATAGCATCTCAGGACGTCTGAGAGACCCACGCAACTATTCATCGGAAGGCGGACGGACTTCCCTCCGGGAGGAGGTGGAGATAGGTGAAAACTCTCTGACCCCAACCAAACAGCCTAGTACCTGCAAGCGGCTTTCTTCCAACGGACGCCCCCAGAAGATCAACACACACCTAGGGCAGGAGCGAGCACACACCAGAGGAGCGACGGTGGAAACAGGTGACCAGAACCCTACCTAAACCCCCCGCAATTACTCCTAAATGCAGAGGGAAACTCCAGAGTTACACACTTGAGCCCGCGGGGAGAGTCTCGCCCCGCCATTGGTGGGGAGATCCCACCTGGTGTCCACGGCGCCCGGAGGGTCCCAGAGAGAATCACAGAGGGCGTGGCAGCCCCCCCGGCTGCCACTGCCTGCATAGCCAGGCAAGGGATTGCCGGAGATCTCGGAGAGGACTGGGGCTGGGTGGAGCTCCAGAGGCCGGCTCTGCGCCCCGGAGGGGAAGCTCCAGAGTTCCGACAGGGCAGCAGACAAAACTCTCTGTCTTCCATTAGCAGAGGGGCCATTCCCAGCAATCACAACTCCGGGAAAGTCCCAGAGAGAATCCCAGAGGGCGAGGCGATCCCCAGCTGCCGTTGCCCGCCCGGCGGGGCAAGGGATTGCTGGACATCTCGGAGAGGACTGGGGCTGGGTGGAGCTCCAGAGGCCGGCTCCGTGGCCTGGGGGGGAAGCTCCAGAGTTCCGACAGGGCAGCAGACAAAACTGTCTGCCATTAGCAGAGGGGCCATTCCCAGCATCCACAACACTGGGAGGGTCCCGGAGGGGAGAATATCAGGCAGGGCAGCAGCTGACCAGCTACCACTGAAATCAGGATCTCCAGCTATTCCCCAGTCAGGGCAAAGGGCTCCCCGAGTTCCTGGGGAACAGGACTGGGGCTGGGTGGAGTTCCAGCAACCCGGCTCCGTACCCTAGGGGGAAACCCTACAGACTCACAGCAGCCTCAGCGAAAGCCTCTGCAAAGCACTAGTAGAGAGCACCCATCCGGCAGCCACAAGGCTGGAAGACCCCGGGACAAAAGTAGCATAGCTAGGTGAGCTAACCACAGACTGTAGAAGATGCCAATAGCTCTCCTGCGACCCATAGTGGACAAGTGAGATTTTGTGGGTGCCGACAGTGACGGAGCAGCAAATATAAGTGATCCTACCCCTGGCTGCTGGAAAAGCCCATAACACCGTTGCAGACCCCAAGGAGGGAACACATCTAGGTGGGCTGCAACAGTAGGCACCAGCAGCCTGAAGCCCCCCTGTGATGGCCCCCACGGCAGAAGAGGGAATCCAAAGGACCACTGTGACTACAAGGAGGGGCCCAGGCCCAGTTAGCAACTGCGGATAGGGTTCCTGGTTGGTGCAGTATAAACAGCTGCTCCCGCACCACACCAGCAGAAACAAGTGGAAGGAGCAACTAATCTCTATCTCTACGCGGAGGCACAAATCTACAACATTAAGCAATATGAAAAAATACATTAAATCTCCAGAACAGAAGGAAAACAACAAATACACAGACAACAATCCCAAAGAAAATGAAATATATAACCTAAATGACGATGACTTCAAAACAGCCATCATTAAAATACTCAATGAGTTAAGAGAGAATTCAGATAGACAACGAGTTCAGGAGCTATGTCACAAAAGAGTTTGATATGATAAAGAAGAACCAAACAGAAATACTGGAAATGAAGAACACAATAGAGGAGATTAAGAAAAATCTAGATGCACTGAACAGTAGGGCCGATAATATGGAGGAAAGAATTAGCAATTTGGAAGATGGTAATATAGAAATGCTGCAGGCAGAGGAGGAGAGAAAAGTAAGACTAAAAAGAAATGAAGAAACTCTCTGAGAATTATCAGACACAATTAGGAGATGCAACGTAAGGATTATAGGTATACCAGAGGGAGAAGAGAAGGAGAAAGGGGCAGAAAGCCTATTCAAAGAAATAATGGCTGAGAACTTCCCAAATTTGGTGAGAGAGATGGATCTTCAGGTGACAGAAGCCGATAGATCTCCAAACTTTATCAATGCAAGAAGACCAACCCCACGGCATATAGTAGTGAAGCTAGCAAAAGTCAACGACAAGGAGAAAATACTAAGGACAGCCAGGCAAAAGAAACTAACCTACAAAGGAACCCCCATCAGGCTATCAGCAGATTTCTCAGCAGAAACTTTACAGGCTATGAGAGTGGAATGATATATTGAAAAATCTGAAGGACAAAAACCTACAGCCGAGAATTCTCTACCCAGCGAAAATATCCTTCAAATATGATGGAGAAATAAAAACTTTCCCAGATAAACGAAAATTAAGGGAGTTCATTGCCACAAAACCTCCTCTTCAGGAAATCCTCAGGAAAACCCTCATTCCTGAAAAATCCAAAAAAGGAAAGGGGCTACAAAACCAAGAGCAGAGGAGATAAGTAGAAGGACAACAACAGAGAGTAGCAGCTCTACATCAGAACAGATTAAACCATGGGACGAGAAACAAAGGAAACTGAAGAAAACCGGAAAACAAGACACAAAATGGTAGTGGTAGGCCCCCACATCTCAATAATCACTGTAAATGTAAATGGATTGAACTCCCCAATCAAAAGACACAGAGTGGCAGGATGGATCAAAGAACAAGACCCAACTATATGCTGCCTCCAGGAAACACACCTCAGCCCCAAAGACAAACACAGACTCAGAGTGAAGGGATGGAGAACAATACTCCAAGCTAATAATGAACAAAAGAAAGCAGGTGTCGCTATACTAATATCAGACAAGGTAGACTTCAAAGCAAAACAGATAAAGAAAGACAAAGAGGGACAATGCATAATGATAAAAGGGACTCTCCACCAAGAAGACATAACACTTATAAATATATACGCACCCAACACAGGAGCACCAAAATTTGTAAAGCAACTCTTAATAGAACTAAAAGAAGACATCAACAACAATACAATAATAGTAGGGGACCTCAACACACCATTAACACCAATGGACAGATCATCCAGACAGAAAATCAACAAGGAAATAATAGAATTAAATGAAAAATTAGACCAGATGGACTTAATAGATATATATAGAACACGTCATCCAAAAACAGCAGGTTACACATTCTTCTCAAGTGCACATGGAACATTCTCAAGGATTGACCATATTTTGGGAAACAAAGCAAACATCAATAAATACAAGAGAGTTGAAATAATATCAAGCATCTTTTCTGATCATAATGCTATGAAACTAGAAATCAACTACAAGAAAAAAGCAGAGAAAGGTGCAAAAATGTGGAGACTAAACAACACGCTTCTGAACAAACAATGGATTATTGAAGAAATTAAAGAAGAAATCAAATATTATCTGGAGACAAATGAAAATGAGAACACAACATACCAAATCATTTGGGATGCAGCAAAAGCAGTCCTAAGAGGGAAATTTATCGCAATACAGGCTCACCTCACTAAACAAGAAAAAGCTCACATAAGCAACCTCAAACGACACCTAACAGAACTAGAAAAAGAAGAACAAACAAAGCCCAGAGTCAGTAGAAGGAGGGAAATAATAAAAATAAGAGCAGAAATAAACGATATTGAAACAAAAAAGACAGTAGAAAGGATCAATGAAACAAAGAGTTGGTTCTTCGAAAAAATTAACAAAATCAACAAACCTTTAGCCAGACTCACCAAGAAAAGAAGAGAGAAATCTCAAATAAATAAAATTAGGAATGAGAGAGGAGAAATCACAACAGATACCAATGAAATACAAGGGATCATAAGAGAATACTATGAAAACTATATGCCAACAAATTGAACAACCTGGAAGAAATGGACAACTTCCTAGACTCCTACAACCTCCCCAAACTGAATCAGGAAGAAATGGAGAATCTGAATAGGCCAATCACAAGTAAGGAAATAGAAACGGTAATCAAAAACCTCCCCAAAAATAAGAGTCCAGGACCAGACGGCTTCTCTGGAGAATTCTACCAAACATTCAAAGAAGACTTAATACTTATTCTTCTCAAACTATTCCAGAAAATTGAGGAAGATGGAGTACTCCCTAACACATTCTGTGAAGCCAGTATCACTCTGATCCCCAAACCTGACAAGGACAACACAAAGAAGGAGAACTACAGGCCGATATCACTGATGAACATAGATGCAAAAATCCTCAACAAAATTCTGGCAAACCGAATACAGCAATACATCAAAAAGATTACACACCATGATCAAGTGGGATTTATACCAGGGACACAGGGATGGTTCAACATCTGCAAGTCAATCAACGTGATACACTACATCAATAAAATGAAAAACAAAAACCACATGATCATCTCAATAGATGCAGAGAAAGCGTTCGACAAGATCCAACACCCATTTATGATAAAAACCCTCAATAAAATGGGTATAGAAGGAAAGTACCTCAATATAATAAAGGCCAACATCATACTCAATGGACAAAAACTGAAAGCCATCCCTCTGAGGACAGGAACAAGACAAGGGTGCCCACTTTCGCCACTCCTATTCAACATAGTACTGGAGGTTTTGGCCAGAGCAATTCGTCAGGAAAAAGAAATAAAAGGAATCCAAATAGGTAATGAAGAAGTAAAAGTCTCGCTGTTTGCAGATGACATGATCTTATATATAGAAAACCCCAAAGAATCCATAGAAAAACTATTAAAAATAATCAACAACTACAGCAAAGTAGCAGGGTATAAAATCAACATACATAAATCAGTAGCATTTCTATACACTAACAATGAACTAACAGAAAAAGAACTCAAGAACTCAATCCCATTCACAATCGCAATGAAAAGAATAAAATACCTTGGGATAAACTTAACCAAGGAAGTGAAGGATCTATACAATGAAAACTACAAGACTTTCTTGAAAGAAATTGACGACGACATAAAGACATAGAAAGACATTCCATGCACATGGATTGGAAGAATAAACATAGTTAAAATGTCCATACTACCTAAAGCAATCTACAGATTCAATGCTATCCCAATCAGAATCCCAAGAACATTCTTCACAGAAATTGAACAAACAATCCTAAAATTCATATGGGGCAACAAAAGACCGCGAATTGCTAAAGCAATCCTGAGCAAGAAAAACAAAGCCGGCGGAATCACAATCCCCGATTTCAAAACATACTACAAAGCTACAGTGATCAAAACAGCATGGTACTGGTACAAAAACAGGTCCACAGATCAATGGAACAGAATTGAAAGCCCAGAGATAAAACCACTCATCTATGGACAGCTAATCTTCGACAAAGGAGCAGAGGGCCTACAATGGAGAAAAGAAAGTCTCTTCAACAAATGCTGCTGGGAAAACTGGACAGCCACATGCAAAAGATTGAAAATTGACCATTCTTTTTCACCACACACCAAAATAAACTCAAAATGGATCAAAGACCTAAAGATTAGGCCGGAAACAATAAGTCTTCTAGAAGAGAATATAGGCAGTACACTCTTTGACATCAGTTTCAAAAGAATCTTTTCGGACACTATAACTCCTCAGTTGAGGGAAACAATAGAAAGAATAAACAAATGGGACTTCATCAGACTAAAGAGCTTCTTCAAGGCAAGGGAAAACAGAATTGAAACAAAAAAACAGCTCACTAATTGGGAAAAAATATTTACAAGCCACCTATCCGACAAAGGGTTAATCTCCATAATATACAAAGAACTCACATGGCTTAACAACAAAAAAAACAAACAACCCGATCAAAAAATGGGCAGAGGACATGAACAGACATTTCTCAAAAGAAGATATAAATATGGCCAATAGACACATGAAAAGATGTTCATCATCGCTAATCATCAGGGAAATGCAAATCAAAACTAAGATATCACCTTACACCCGTTAGATTGGCAAAAACATCCAAAACCAAGAGTGACAAATGTTGGAGGGGTTGTGGAGAAAAAGGAACCCTCATACACTGTTGGTGGGAATGCAAAGTGGTACAGCCACTATGGAAAACAGTATGGAGATTTCTCAAAAAGTTAAAAATAGGAATACCCTATGACCCAGCCATCCCATTACTGGGTATCTATCCTAAGAACCTGATATCAGAAATCCCAAGAGTCCCTTGCACCCCTATGTTCATCGCAGCATTATTTACAATAGCCAAGACGTGGAACCAACCTACATGCCCAGAAACTGATGATTGGATAAAGAAGATATGGTATATATACACAGTGGAATACTACTCAGCCATAAAAAAAGACAAAATTGGCCCATTCGCGGCAACGTGGATGGACCTCGAGGGTATTATGTTAAGCGAAATAAGCCGGTCAGAGAAAGACGAACTCTATATGACTCTACTCATTGGTGGAAGTTAACATATTGACAAGGAGATCTGATCGGTGGTTACCAGGGAAAAGGTGGGGTGGGGGAAGGGCACAAAGGGGGAAGAGGTGTACCCACAACATGACTAACAATAATGTACAACTGAAATCTCAAAAGGATGTAATCTATCATAACATTAATAAAAAATAAATTAAAAAAATAAAAAAAAGAAAAGGTTTTTATTAGCTCTCATTTCCTATTTGCAACACAATTTTGAGCAGATTTAGCTGTGCAGGCACGTGTGTGTGTTCGTGTGTGTGTGTGTGATGGCTGCCATAGCTGGGATTCTCCTTCAGAAGGGCTAGACTGATTTTTAATCGGGAGTCAAGGGCAAGCACGGTACCTATCACCAACAATTCCGTTTCAAACATTTTTTGCTTTATCCTCTCTTGGAGAACTCTTTAAAATAATTCAGCAGTCTTTATAATTTCGACTTATTCATTCCAAGTAGGATTTACAGCATTACCGGCAACAATTCTGCTGGGAGTGGCTGTGCTCTGCATCTGACCTGTTCTCTCAGTTACAGTTCTTGTCGCTTCTTTCCCGCGTCTGCACCAGTCAGTGCGCTGACTTCGCTGGGCCATCTCCTCAAGGCCTCCTGGGCTTCCACCTCCTTTAGTTCAGGGTTGCTGAGCCATCGAGGCCTTTCAAGCTTTACTTTCATGGAACAGTCATGGCAGGGTGTGTAGCTCTCTGGACAACATGCTTGGCTGGGCAGGGACATTTGAAGGCAAAAGCCAACATTCTCCAGGGAGTCTGGAGATGGCAGAAGGCAGGACTCTTAAGATTAGACTTTTCCTCCTTAATAAAGGGGGCATAACTGTGATTTCTTTTGCTATTGGCCACGCCCAAATTGAGGGGCTGACTGCATTGTGGTTCCATAGATCCTTGGCCTTCATCAACAGGGACGAGAATCAGGGAGGGTCTATTGGAGGCTGTGGGGGGATAAGGGGTTACTGAAATCAGCACCATTGACTCCGAGAAACTGTAACCACCCCCACTGACCAAATAGCGTTTATACTGGCCCCAATTTTTTCTTTTTGGAAGCAGAAATGCTAAGGAACTGGTACCTACTGTGAAAGATTTAGTGTGACACATAGTTCTTTTTGTTTCCAAGGGCTCTGAGAAAGATTACCAGCTGTGGGTCAGTTTCGGCAAGAAAGAGGCCCCATGCCCACTCACTGGTAAGTGTCTGGGAACATCTCAGAGGGGGCCGATTGGGTTGAAAACTGCAACTCTGAAGTCTCAAAGTAGCGGTTGCTCGGTCTCAAGCTCCAAGACACTTAGAAGTGAAAATCTTATGCAATATTCCTTCATACATTTATTATATAATTACTAAGCACTTACTCTATCCCAGGCACTGATAACATCTCTTCATTCCACGGCTTATGGTCTAGTTTGTGGGAAATGAGAGTTTTTCTTCTTTACTTTTTTACTTGACAAACAGAGCTGTCTTGAAAAACTTATACTTACTTACTTACTCAGGTATGATAGCAACCTGGATCGGAATTCCTTTTCCCATCTATTTATTTTTTATATTCCAGTCTTGAATTCCTCTGTTCCATTTCCTAACGACTAAGTAGCCTCTATTTTGAGAGAATCTTAAAAAATCCAGCCATACCTCTGAATCCAAGTACAAATATTTATTTAATACTTGCTCTGTGTCCGAAACTTTTCTCGGCATCATAAGGAAGATGAGATAATCACAGTTAACTCCTCACGTCTTCACTGACTAAACCACCGGTACCTTGCTGTTTCTCAGGCCGAGTTTTCTAGCATTGTTCTTGAGGTTATTGATAAATCGATTGCACCTCTCCTAAAATCGTTATTAGAGCAAGTGAGCTAAAAGAATAATAATAATTCTTGGATCAGCAAATTTGTTCAGTGTGGAAAATAGAGGGACTAAGACAAGGGAAGGGACAGGCTCTGTCACAGACCTGGCAGGAGGTCTTCTCAGCCTTCACGGAATTGGAGAGAGTGAGGACCTTGCTCTGGATGAGCTTGGGCTGAAGGGAGAGTTGTGGCTGGTTTGATCTTCTATCCAGACCACTAACACTGTCTCCCTGTCGGCAATAAGGCTGTTTTGCTTTCTTGTCATTCATGTGTTCACTGCAGTAGCACTTTGAATTTCCTTCTTTTGCGTTCACGACTTGGCTAACTCTCTGGTGCCAGAGGAGTAGCTCTCAGCCACCTCAGCTTTCGACATGGCTTCCTCACAAAGCTTAATCATTTCTCACTTTCAATTTAAGGTGAGAGGCGTGTGACTCTTCCTCTCATTGAACACTTAGAGGCCATTGTAGGGTTACCATCTGGCGAATTTCCATATTGTCGTGTCTCAGGGAATAGGGAGGCCCAAGGAGATGGAGAGAGATGGGAATGTTTGGTCAGTGGAGCGGTCAGAACACACACGCGTTTATCCATTAAAGTCCCCATCTTAGATGGGCAGTGTTCATGGTGCCCCAAAACAATTCCAATAGTACCATCTAAGATCACTGATCACAGATCACCATAACAACTATAATAATCCTGAAAAAGACTGGAATATTGCAAGAACTATCAAAATATGACACAGCAACATAAAGCGAGCAAACACTGTTGGAAAAATGGTGCTGATAGATTTGCTTGACATAGGGTTGCCAGAAATTCCCAATTTGTAAAAAGCTCAGTATCTGTGAAATGCAATTAAGGGAAGCACAATAAAACGAGGCATGCGTGTATTCTTAAAGAATGAAATCCACACCACACTGTTGGGGAAAAGTGCAATTCTCCACAGAGAACTCTATGGAGAGGAAGCAATTTAAAGCATGAAAGAGCAAAACAAATCACATGGCAGGCAACTCCCGGTGATGTTGGGTGCAGTTTTCCACTCTGTAAACACTGTTTTGCACTTTGCTTCTGGGTTTCCAACACCGTGCAGCCTTCCCTCTGAGGGCTGCCTGACAGGGCCCTGGGAGGGTGGGCAGCCGTGGGAGGGCAGCTGAAGGCACAGAGCCCTGCTGCTCTTGAGGAGCCCTTGTCTTTAGAACTGACAAAAGGAAATGAAAAATCTGTGTTAAAATGACATTACATGTGAGAGAACAGTGATCACAGCAATTCTGAACATATATGGTCCAATTCTTTAAAAACCATTGACCACCAATGTTTATTAATATATTTTCCTTGATCCTTATAAGTCTGTGTGAGGGTAAGCATTTAAAAGGATGAATGTCAGGCTCAGAGAGGGCAAGTAATTTGCCTCAGATGTACAGATCTAGCTAGTGTCAAGGCAGAAACTAGAAGGCATTAAATATTCTCGGAGGGAAACACAGCAAAAGTCAACATTGTGCAATGCACTTACGGATCTATGCATTCCAAAGAAAGCAACGTGGTTAAAAATTTTTTTCTCTTTACTTTTTAAACTCTTTTGCGTGGGCACCTGCTTTTTGCAAGGTGTCCCCCGTGAGGGTGCACGTGGCGCTCCCTCGGGAGCACAGCCTTCTTTATCCAGAAGCTCCAGGAGAATGGCAGCACACACTGGTGTGGCCCACACGCTCACAGTAAGGAGGTTTGATCCTAACCCATCACCATCATCCTGATCCATAGTTAGATTTTTCTCCATATAGGACATGAGCATCCCTACGGAATTAAAATGAGCCATCTTCCAGCCACTGGGCTCCTGCCACAGGGACCAGAGGACTCCACCTTCCAGGAGTCCCCAGGCACGCAAGGCCAATTCATCTTGAAGCCGAGGCACCCAGCCAGGAACCAGCAGAGGAAAGGTGAGCCCCTCCCCTCTGGCAAGCGCCTTCTCTCGGCTCATGTCTCCACTTCTCAAACGCATGACACAGAGCTGATTTTCCATGTGTGGGTGGAGGGCCCGTATGGACAGGAACCCAGTACCCGCCCAGAATCAAGCTTAGGGAAACTCCAAGGGTCTGAAATCAAGACCCAGCTCAATTCTAGGAAGGTTTTTTTTTTTTCTTTTTCAATTCTTCTAGGTAGACAGTTGCTCCCTTCTCTGTATCCCCAGAGCACTGTTGCCATATAGTTCTGTGTCTGCACATCCATGTGTCTTCTCAGAGCGTGTGCTTCTACAACCTGAGAACGTGCCTTCCCGATCTCAGGGTTTTGTCCAGTATCTCAGTATGTCACGGGAGGGGACCAAATGACCACATGGCTTAGACACACCTGGAATAAAAAACTCCAGTGGAGCGAAGAGTTATGGAATTGAACTGGACTCTCTTCTGGGCTTCGGCTGAAGTGGCCTTGGGATTCCAGAGAGAACTGGACTCTCAAGTCTGTTCCCACAGCAAGCTCGCTTTCCACGTCTGCTTCAGACCCAGGGCGAGACCAAAACTAGACTGAATGTTTATGGTCAGGGCTTTTTTAGCTTCCTTCTTGTCATTTTTTTCCCCTACCATTCCAATATTCTCCCATTGATATTTCTTTCTCTGAAGAAGACATTTTATTTATTTGGGAAGTATTTGAGCCAGAATAGAATTTCTACTTAAAAGTATTTTTATTATGATTGTTATTCTATAAGGATAAAGTTTCAAAACATTTATTTTTTAATACACACACCCTAATTTGAGCATGAGGAAACACTAACCTAAATCTTGCCAGGACTGTTTAAAACTAGCTAGGTTTTAGGGGCCAGCCCGGTGGTGTAGTGGTTAAGTTCAGTGAGCTCCACTTCGGTGGCCCAGGGTTCGTGGGTTTGGATCCCAGGTGCTGACCTACACCACTCATCAAGCCAAGCGGTGGAGGCAACCCACACACAAAATATAGGAAGATAGGCACAGATGTCAGCTCAGGGCCACTCTTCCTCAAGCAAAAAGGAGATTGGCAACAGATGTTAGCTCACTGTCTATACTTTCTGTCTATGCTCAGAGAGTAGCTGGATGTGTAGCTTTGTATCAAGGGATAGAGCACTCTTCTTCAGAGCATTCTTGTTAAAGCTGAATAATGGAATACATTTGGATAGTTTTAGAAATAATAAAATCAGGTTAAGAAGGAAAACCAGGTTGCATACAACAACTCAACCTATATTTTAACGTGTATCTGAGACAAATATTTGTACATGCGGACATATAGAAATCTTCTCCTGGAGTTAAGAATATATTGGCTTTCTTCTCTCTTTTTAAAATGGTAGGGGTATGAATACCAGGCAGGAAGAAGCCTTAGTTAGGGGAGTGGTGGCATTCCTTCATGACTGCCACCTTCTGGAGGCAGTGAAATCAAACGGAGAATGGGGGTGGGGTCTGCTTTGGGGGGAGGAGACAGATGTCTAGGCCTCCTTAGGCCCTCTGAGTGAGGGAGATGAGATTTATCAAGGCTGCTATGAGCCATGCCTTATGCTGAGTGGGACCTTCTAGTATTTAGTCCAAAGAGGTATAGGTAGCATCATTTACATTAAAGTTGACCAACCAAAGCTCAAAGAGTTTTGAGTAAACTTATCCGACTAAGTGGCAGAACCAGGAGCCTTCTGTTTCTCGGATCCTGCTCTCTCTCGTCCAGCCCCAGGAGCACTGCATCCACTTGAGTGGACATGGAGATGCACTCACTACTCCCAGGAAGGCCGAGTGGTTGGGCGTTGAAGGATGTTTGGTGAAATGTTGCTCCACTGTTTATCCTTCTACAACTTGGCTCCTCTGTTGACATTTTTAGTGTTCGGTATAAACATGTTATTTAAACAAATGTTAAGGTACCTTATTAGGTAAACATTCATAGCTGAGCAGTAGAAACTTGGAACTCAGCTTTTCCTTGCTGATCACCTTTACTTTGAAAAGCATTCTTTTGACAGGGGCTGTTGGGTAGTTAAAAATCATCTCTGAGTAGCTTTGTGGGGTGTCCAAAGAAACATGGCCACCTGGAATCTTACCACATAGCCAGAATTTAATGACTACTTCCCAAGGACCCTGACTGCTGATAGTCATCATGGAGCTGCCTGAGCGTTGTGGCCCCCAGAGCAGAGGGCAGAGGCCGGCTGAGAAGTGGGCTCAGGCAGGTTGTGTCTTGAAAGGCAGATCCTTTTGCTGAAAGAAAGTTGACCATGGTTGGGCGTTCAGAAAGCAAACGGAATCTAAGAGTGGGAGGAGACTTACTATGAAAGTAGATGATTGCCAAACTCTGCTTGATTTGAAAACCAAACCTGGTTAGCTTTCGAAATGTGATCTGTCACCTGAATCCACTGTTCGTACTAAACATCAGAAAACACGGACAACTACAAGTGAAGTGTCTCATGCAACAGGCAGGAGAGAGTACTGCCTAGGAAGCATTTCCCCTGGAAGAAGTGACCCCGAGTCTGAGCAAGCCTCTAGGTTTGCAGGATGTGGGGAAGAAGAGCACATTAACACCACAAGGATGCAATTGGCCAATTTCTGAACATGGGAAATTCTGTGCAAAAAAATGACTCAGTTCCTCTTTCTTCTTGCCATTGTAATGAATGTGCCATAAGTAAATTAAGCTAACTACTACTGATAATCTCACTTCTTCTTTAGAGTCAGGCCAGAAGTCAGTTAGAATGAATTTTATGGGCAACTGGGTCCTCCAGCACGGCTCCAGCGCCTGCCAGGACCTTCCGCACACACGTGACGCCACCATCCCCAAAGCCAGGACAGCTCTTCGGCGTCAGCCTCGGGGATGTGTGTGAGCGCGACAGCCGGCCCCCTTCTCTTCTGGTGGGTCTTATTTTGGTCTTTTGTGGCTTTCCTGAGGAGGGAGAACTCTGAGAGGTCAAGTGTCTTATTCAAATCTATCCCTAAATGGAGAAATCTTTAGACAGCCACTGGCTTTGGGGGAAAAGCTTTGCTAATATTACTTCAAAGAATAAAATCTGATTTAGGTACTGCAGAGTCATAAAGCAAACACGACAAAGAAGAGATACCCTTGTCCATTCCATAGGTTTCAGCAAAGACCCACATATGCCTGCTCAGATCAATCAAAATGGGCTCTATGTGGATGAGTCTCCGAGAGTCCACCCCGTCTCATCTTCTCTGAACTCCACAGTACTCTTCAGCCTCTTTCAGCTGAGTCTACTCAATCTCACTCCTCAAAATCTCTCAGGTGACTTTGACCTGTATTTCTAGTGCTGAAACATACAGACTCAGCCTCTGGCATATGTGGATCCTTTCATCCAAATAGAATGTGTCAAGTGACAGCCACAGAATTTGGCCTGTGTTAACTCAAATTGGTGTATGGAATTGTCAGTGTCAACATTTATTGAGTGTCCGGTATCTCTCCAAGCACTCTACCAGATATAGGGAATTTTAGGCTAACGATGAAGAAATGTGTCATGCCAGTCCCTTGCTCCTACTACCTCAGTCCTTGCAAGTTTCACAGCAAATTTAGGGGGTAGCTATGATTATCATCATTCCCACTTCACAAACGAGAAAAAAAAAGTAACCTCACTAAAGTGTACACTGTGCCTAAGGCCACACAGCCAAGATGTAGCATCATAGGATTCGGGTCCCTTGGATTACCTGACTCCAATACCTAGAGCCTTTCTGCACCACAAGCAGAGGACATGAAGATGCAGCAAAAGGAAATGAAAGAGTGATGAGAAGGGGATGTAATTAGAGGAGGAGGAGAGGGGTTTGGAGAGCCCGATTTTAAAAGAGAGAAAGCAATACAGGAAGTAGAAATGGGGTACGCAGTCCCTTAAAGGGGAACGAACAATGGGACATGGGTATGGCACAAAGATTTCCATAACTGGGGAAGAGCAGCTATATTAGGGCACGATGAGGAACGATTGGTGGAGTAGGAGCGGGTGATTCCACAAAGGCCTGGAAGCAGGGAAGTTTGATTCAAAAGTGTAAATTCACTGAAAAGGAAAATCTGATTTAAAAACTGTTTTAAATGTTTCAGCATATGAATGTAGAAGGGATTGTTGGGTAGAAAATAGAGACACTGAGAAAAAAAATTCCACGTTTGCTTGCATGCCCCCACCTCCAGCACTGCACCTCACTTACCCCAGCTCCGACAAGGGGGGAGCGGGTGCTCAGGGCTCCTGGATACGAGGTGCCATTGATTTTTCCTTTCTCTTCTTCCCTATAGGATATGCTTTTCTTTATCAATCAAAAAGGGCCGCTCACAGAGGGCATATTCAGAAAATCGGCCAATATGAAATCATGCAGAGCCCTAAAGGAGACATTAAATGCTGGGGACAAAGTGACCCTGGACTGTGAATCTGTTCTTGTGGTCGCATCTGTCTTAAAGGTAGGGAAACTTCTAGCATTATCCACACACAGCGTAACTCTGAAGGTACATGATCAATTTCCTTCACCGTGATTGCCCAGGTACCATAATAGGCATAATAGATTGAGAAACTGAAAAACACTTCACAAAGTCCAAATTTAAGGATGTTAGTTTGGGTGTTAAAAGCCCCAGATGTTAGATATACTTTCCTTTTTCATCACACACTACCTCCTCCTTGTTCATTCCTGAACATTATCCCAGAATAATATAATAAAAATTCTAAATACACACTTAGATATACAGAACGTTTACCAGAACAAACATCCTGTTTTTGATGACTTCTTCACCATTGTCCTAAGGAAAGCAAAATTTACAAAAGAAAATTCGTATTAAACATTTGAAAATAGATACAGAGGTTTACCATAGTAAGTAAGCCAACATTTGTCATTCAATGAATCAAAAAATGCTCAATGAGTGACCAAAGGCTCTGTTCACTTCCTCATCCTTCTTTCGCCTGTCTCTCTTAATTTAAAAGTAGTGTAGGGGTGACTTCACTTTTTTTGCCTTCTTTAACCCTTACCAAATTTGGCACCCTTTATTAACATTTGTTATGCTTAACCCACCACCCACGATTATGGTCACACAGAAACGAGCTCCTACCACATGCTTCTTCTTATAAATCTGACTTTTAAAGTAGGTGCAGCAACGAAAATTTGTTTGGAATTCTGAAAATTCAATAGATTTATACAAAAAAAGTTTTTTAAATGATACAGCTAAATCACAAATATCCAGTTATGTTTCTATGAAGGGAATAATAGAAGAGAGAAAGAATTGACTCAATCCATCTTGGTATTTGTTAACAGCTCTAAAGAGGAATGTCATAAGTAGAAATGACTACAAATAGGTTATTAAAATTATCTTATAATCGAGATTACATTTGGTCTTTCCTTGTTCCCCATTAATGTTCAGCTGTATCATAAATAGGGACAGTTCAGAAGTGACTTAGAGTCGACCACTGTGACACTGGGATGATTAGAAATAGACACTAGGCATGCAAATAGCAAGTTGAGTGTTGCCTTCTGTGAAGAGCAAACCTGGAACTGATTTTCCAGCAAGAGTTAGAGTTTCCCATCAGCAGAGTCTTGCCCATCTTTCTGTTATAAGTACAGACTAGCAAGGGGGTGGCCACTCGTGGGTATAGTTCTTAGACATTCCTAAAGTTGACTGATCTTGCTGGGGAATCAGACTTTGCAACTTGGCCTTGATAATACCATGCCCAATGAACTGGAGTGTTGACCTAAACCAGAAATGAGTATGTCATCAGCACCACACTGAGTTTGCCATTGAGCTGTCTAAAAACAGAGGTCCAGCAGTGAATACCCTTGGCATATTCTGCTTGGGTCATGTTCTGGCTTCACCACACTCAGCCTCACCAATGGGCTCCCACAGAACAGGGTTCAGGAAACAGAGAGGAGACATATGCTCCAAGTGCATGTAGCACAGTACGCATGAGGCAAGAGCCCCCCTGCACCCTCCCAGACTCGAAGAGCCGGCCAGAGTTGGACTGCTTCCTCCCTCCAAATACATTGGAAGCACTCCATAGGAAACACGGTGAAAAGCACTAACTACCATGCCTAGCTACAATACCATGGGTACCACACACCAATCAACATAGTAAAGTGAGAGGACTGGGACTCTCCATTGGCTTCTCTGCTCTGTCCCCAGTGCTCACCACAGTGCCTGGCACTAACAGCAGCTCAATAGGGATTAGATGAGGGAACCATCATTAGATTCTAATTAGGATAGTTGCCCTGAGGCACTTCTTGAGCAAGCCACCACTAAGAGAAGGCGTGTGCTGCTTAGTGAGCACAATGGAAGCTAGGTGTGCTTGGAAGCCAGCAAGACAATGTGACAACTTCCCCTCAGTCTTGCACAAACATTAAAGCTTCACAAATTTTAATAGGCCCAATTCTACGATGTTAAACTTGTTCCTCAGCCCTCTAAAGTCACAGATGTTCCAGGCCTCCACTTAGGAAGCTGACATTTGTGCGTCTGTAGCCCTGATACTCAGAGGCCTGAAGTTGCGATGTATCTAAGTTTTTTGTAAGTTTCTTCTTTTGGAAGGATATGTATGTCCCACTCACAGACTGTAAGGGGTAACACGTTGTTACCCATTGGGGATTTTGATATATTTCCAATGCCTGCTGCTTCCCAGTCTGCAGAATCGAACTTTTACACAGTTAAAACCAGGAAGAATGAGGCTATTGTGACGCAGTGTTCTCCCAAGGAGCACACATACCTCAAATCAGAAGGCTCAGTTCTCTCTTAATATGTGTGCAAGAGCACGAGGGTGTGCGCGTTTGGTTTGCTTCAGAACTTCTCTTGCTTGAGTTAAGAGCAAGCACTGTGTCTCAAACAGGGATGGGTATTTCTTCTCAAGAAACTAGCAGGATTGAGGATGACGTATCACCCAACCTTGTCAGTTTCCACTTGTTTACTAAAACGGACACCAAGAGGAAGTTCCAGGTGATGGAAGGGGGCTTTCTCTTCACTCCCACTGTGGCCCACTCTGCTTTGATGCTTCTAAGTTTTAGTTGGAGCAAGTCCAAGCACCCACTTCAGGGTGTGCAAGTCAGTGGAGAGGTGGAGCTGAGCGCTACGGGGGTCACAGTGTGGGGAGCCTGAGAAGGAAGTGGGGACAGAAACTCAATTTTGCGACTCCATGTTTTCCCTGTAATTTGTCCAATATGTATTTGCCATAAGAATAGTACTCTTCTTTTTATCTACGTAAGGATTTTCTCGGAAACATCCCAGGGAGTGTCTTTACATCTCATCTCCATGAGAAATGGCTCACTATAACCGATGGAGAGAACGAGGAGGAGAAAATAGCTGCCACTCAGAGGTAACGATGCTATGATTACTCTACTGGGGCACAGCTCAAAAGTACAATCGACATACCACTAGGAAAATATTAGCTTATATTTTACAGCTTTGTCCACTAAAATAATGACCAACGCCAAAGAGTTTGATTTGACCCCTCCCACGGAGGCCAGTTCAAAAATAGAGGCGTGCCTTACTGCTCTTATCGATTTCTTGTTCTTCTGCTAGTCTTGTTAATGTGGAATCCTTGACCATTTTATCCCTTCTGAATATAGGAAACTGAGAGCAGAGGAAATCCTTTGGTCCAAGAGAGATGCTAAAGGACCAATCTGCCAGGGATATGGTCTTACCTTTGTCAAACACTTAACTAGCCAGAGAAGTTCTTATCTGGTTCAGGAACTGAACTCAATGAAACATTTTTGCCTGGAACTTTGCTGGGCTCTTACCCTGAGACAGTGTTCCTATATTGCTACCTTCAAAACAAAGGGAGCCTTTGAAATTTCATCACTGTCTAATTTAATCAATGAGCTTTTGTGAACTTTAATTGAAGAGTTTCTGCAATGTTTCAGAGTTTTAAAACATATTTAGATTAAATGTGATATTAATAAGATGTGCCCAAATGAGAACACGTTCTAGGCGTTTCAGGGAAATATTTCAGGCAGCATGTTTATGAGGGCCATTTCTGATGCGGAGTCAGTGAGCCGAGGGTCAAAAGAAAGATTTCTTAGACGCTTAAGATCTGGCAGTAGTGCTCTTTTATTTAGAGAATAGTGTGGAATAGCATGGGGACAGGACCCATGGGCAGTCAGAACTTCTGCTGCCGCCGCTTCTGCTGCCCCCGCTGGCATGGGGACAGGACCCATGGGTAGGCAGAGCTGGTGCGTGGGGACAGGAGCCACGGGCGGTCAGAGCTCCTGCTGCTGCCCCGAGTTGAGGGTTAGGGCTAATTTTATAAGGCATGGGTACGTGACTTATTTTTACTGGAGAAAAGAAAAGATGATGTAAAAAGTCATTAAATGATTTCAGTGCAGATGGGGTCTGGTTATTGTGTGGTCATATAACTTTAGATACGAATCTGGCCATATAGATCGGCATGTAGGTGAGGATGCCCTGGGCTTCTCTCCCTGGGGCGGTCCTAATTCATACCATAAAAAAAGTCCACTGGGTCATATAGTTTGGCATGTAGGCCAGGTCACCTTGGGCTTCTCTAGCTGGGGCAGCCTTAATCCACATCATAAACCCCCCTGAACCCATTTGGCCCCGAAATCTTTTGGGGATATGGATGACGGTCAGTCTTCTGTAACTACTTCCGGCTGTACAAGGTCGTAGAGCTGTCCCTAAATGGGGCCATAGGTATAAGTAGGAAGTTCAGTGGACCGGAAGGCTGCACCCGTGGAGTCCAAGCCTGACAAGGTGTACAGATCCTCTGGAGACGAGAGAATCATTTGACGAGAGGTGGTCCAGGAGGTGAAACTTTGTTGACATGCGGAAGACAAACAATGAAACAGACAACAAATTATAATAGGAAATACTAGCAATATGATTAACCCAATGAATAAGGTTTTGGTAGCAGTCTAGAAACCTGGTCCTGACCAGGAGTTAAACCAATCGTTTAGAGATAGGGTAGGGTCAGACATGAAGTTAATTTGGTGGTTCATATCACATAGGAAGCCAGAGATATTTTGATGGTAGTCAGGAATATAAACACAACATTCAGTTTTTATAATGGCACGAGTGCCCCCCTGTGCTGCTGTCAAGACATCCAGTGCCATTCGGTTTTGGAGGACTGCCTTACGCATTTGGGACACTTCTAAATCAAGCAGCAAAAGGCTATGTTGTGTATCATTTTAATGCTTTCATAGTAAATTTGTTTAGTGCTTCCATGGGCCAGATGACACTTTCGATTCCTAACTGGGGAAGGAAAATTGAGGCAACGTGGTCATACCAGTGGAAGACAGAGCAGGTCCAGTGCTGTTGCAGGTTGGGTAGGTTAGCAGGAGGAGATATAGTAAATGTAGTTCTACCCTGCATACAGACAAAGCCTAGAGTGCATCGTCCAATCCATCCAGGTGGCAGCCAAGGTCATAAGTTGGAGCCACATAGCCACTGAGTGCCATTAGGGGCTAACCAACGTGTGCTGGGCCGTCTATCCCAGTCAGTCTCAAACCAATCAGTATTTTTTAAGGTTATGATATGAGAACACATATGACAGGGAATTTTCCCATAGGTCGGGTGCTATTAGGCCATGTATCACAGGTGTGATTGGTTTGTTCCCAACGTAGAGTGGCCTTTTACTGAGTTGATCACTAGCAGGAGTGAGCCAAATATATTCGTCCCAAATTTGATATAGTCCATCTTGTGTGTATCAATAAGTTGGGGACTTTACCTTTGGAACTTGTCGTTTATGATCCACCTATGACAAGGCAAATCTAGTTAGTATTTGGGCAGTAGTGTTGAAGGAAGAGGTTTGCTTGTGGCCAGGGAACTCCCAGGTATCAGAGATGGATGGCCACAAGGAAACATTATGATTAGTAACAGATGAATCTTGCAGAAGAGAAGAGCTAGAGTCTAATATCCATGAATGTGTACTATACCTTCTACTGAAACATAATTTTTTCCTCTCTAAAATCATCCTCATTTTTATAAGATAGCCAAATTAAGATTAACTGGTCTGCCAATTATTTACATAAGTGCAGCAAGAATACCAATTGATTATACAGGCTTTTTAAAATCTGCTTTGCTGGAATTTTTTTTTATGAGGAATCTCAGAGTGAACTCTAAAGGCCTCTTGAGGCCAGAAAAGCCAAGCCAAGGACTTGTCATCAGATTTTGCCTGCAGTACCTCCAGATTTGGGTGGACTCCTCTCTTCTCGAGGTCCCCCAAAACATTTTGAGGTTCCTTGCACCTGCCAGACAAGCAAGCTTCCTTACTTACCGGGTAAGATTGCCAGAATCTCTGTAAACAAGGTACCAGGCCCATATTTCCAAGTGGCTTTAGTTCCAGAAAGTCTAATCTTTGTTCCTGAAAAGCTGTGTTGTCGTATCTGAGCCTGTATATTTCTCTCAAATATGACATTCCAGTCAAAGCCTTGGTAAGATAACCAATGTGTCCTGTTATAAGGGGACCAAATTCTTATTGAACTTATGCAAATAACTATATTGCCACGAAATAACCATACTCACAAAGAGTTTCCAAATTCTGGAGGGATCAGGTCGGGAGAAAAAGACAAATGTTTCAGTTTTGCTCATAAAGATGTATTTCACTAAATTGCTGTAAGTCATAGTTAGCATAAGAGAAAAGAAAGAAAGATTTCCTTAAACATGAGAAAACAAAACAAAACATCAAAACTCAGCAATATTTCAAACAGAAGTCATAAAAAATTATAATCATCCTCATCAGTTCACACAGTCCTGTATAATCAGTTCTTGAGCTTAATCTTCTGTTAGCAGATCTATGAGCTTAGTTTCTGTTAGAATTCTGTAATTTCTTACCCAGTTCAGTTTTACAATCTGAAAGTTTATCAGAAACCTGTAGTTTAGAACCCTTGTGTCAGAATCCTTTCCAGGAATTTCTCTGGAGATGAAACATATTTGCAAAAGCAAAAAGCATCAGAGTAAAACAGCAACTATCTGCAAATGGACAAAAGACTCAAAAGGGCAATTGACAAAGAAACTTGGCTATTTCTGTGACATATAACACTTTAAGATAATAACTGGCATTATGACTGATAACCAGAACAGATTAGAATTTTAGGAATGCTATATAATGTTAAGACACGTATATTAATAACATTCACCCACGTAATACCACATAAGAAAGTTTATCATCGCTTATTTGACAATGCTTCCCATGTAATTTAATAAACCAAATAAACCTAATTAATTTAGTATTTTCCTCCTTATAGGAAGAGAGCAAATTTCTTTGAGAAGTCTCAGGGGCCCTCTGAAAATCCTCAGAGAAATTCTTCTTCCATCTACCAGGTCAAAAGAAAGCCTTCATTCAGGATTTGAATATTTTTGAGGGAGAAGCTTGTCAAAAATATCAAAAGTTTTTAAAATGCTTGTTCAAATAGAAACAACGCTCACTGTTAAACAATGCTCAGGCATCCATTCAAAGTGACAACAGAGACAGTCAAGAGCAAACAACATCATCAAAAAATTTTAGAAGAGACCTCTTTCTTTCTGAATATAGGAAATTATTTTAACAAAACATAGATTTTCTGTCTTTTAGGTAGAGTTAGAGCAGGCCAAAAGTTCAAAAAAATTATACTTTGAGAGAAAACCAAATTTTAATTTCTGTACCAGCTTATTTTTAACATTAAAACTCATTCACTTAATTGGATTTACTCTAATCTTAGTCTACTTGACCAGGCATAAAACTCCTTTCAGAATTTCTCCTTCACAAACCTTCCACAACTTTCTTTTTGCCTTCATAATTTGTCCCAAAGTCTGTCTTTTTTCCTTTCTAGTACTTTAGGACAAACTTATCTTTCTTAACCCATCAAACAAAAATACTTCCATTCTTTATACCCTCTTTACTGAAAACATACATTTTAACTTTCCTTGAATACAGAGCTGTTTTCCTTA